TCGACTTGTTTCACCATACGCACTGTACACATTTAGTATACGAAGCTGTCGGACCTCGGGGTCTGTTCAGACTCACCACCGCGATGAACGGGTGTTTAGTATCGATATCCAGCACATTCCCGCTTGCTGGGATGTACAGCTAGCCAATGCAACAGCTCTCATTCGCCAAAGACATTCCCCATGCTCCGCGTTTATGAAGCTGTCATTGCTGTTTCAAAATAGCCGACATTGTCTCTTACACATAAATGACTGCGCTGTACATGTAGTGCATCACACCAGCAATCTGCTGTAGATCTACTTCCTCCGCGTCATTAAAATTGTCGCTTCCCAGAGCGATTTTTCGAATACATTTTGTCCACTCGAAGGGCAAAGAAATCAGCTAGAAATTGAGGCAGAGCATTGTCGATGGACCAAGCTTTAGTTTGTGGCCCCCCGCTTTGCTGCACTTGCAGCTAAGGTCGACGTCTTCATCAGAGTTTGAGGCAGACCCTTCAGCACTCAACAATACGCTGGACAAGATGCGCGGTCAAATTCAGGTCAAGAAACTTCGTTTTCAAGTGATCCATGCCTCCAGGTGGCAGGCGATGAAGGCAAGCTAGCATTTTTCAAGTACACTGTAAGGACCTTTCAGCAGGATAGGGTAAGCAGTTTCACACCTTCTTTCCTCGGCAAGCGCTTTGCTGATTTTGTTGGTGTTTTCAGACCTGCTACCTTCACAGCAACATGCGCCACAAGTAGCGCATTTTAGGAATTTGAGACCGCTTTGTTCTTGCCATCATCAACTTCAGCATTTCGTATTCAGGAGAGATACCAAGATTCTTATACCTGCACTTGCAGTTTTGATAAATGCCCACGCGAACGATGTGGGACGGCACGAACTCCAGAAAACGAAATGCGCTCTGGGGCGGAATAGTGCGGAGCGCGATGAATTTGCTTGGTGCGGAAGAGAGCTCCGACAAAGTCCAAGACCACCACGGCTTCAGTGACAAGTAGACATTGCGCAGGAAGGGTCGCACCAGTGTTCGAACACAAAAAAACAGCGATTCCGACAGTCTGACTAAGACGAGCCAAGTCTCAAATATTGCGATGTGCGAAGCGACAATTTTAATGACGCGGAGGAAGTACAATGTACGACAATGTACAGACAGTGCATGCAGCGAGCCGAGCATGCGCACTTGAGTAGGGTACTAGACTCCTACGCGCGATCGCTGGTCACAACTGAGTCTGTACACGCGACTGTGCTCGTGTCGTTGTGACTTGCAAGTGCACTCTGTACTGCACTGATGTACTGTATGACTGGACAGGAACAATGCAAGTGCAGTTTTCAGTGCGTGGACTCGGCTACTAAAACATTTTGTGGAAGCAAACAAGCCTTCTTTATGATCTTGGTCATTTTTCTCAATCGACTCTGCGCTTCGAGCTAGATGTATCCCTGGGGTATTGCCCAACTAGAACTGTAGTCCTCACATGCCCCAGGTCGCGAGGAGCTAATCACTTTTGTCAGCAGAACTCCTGCTCGGGACTCGACACATTTATTCCGTCCGATGTCATCCCCGCTTCGAGTGGGGAGCTTCATGCCCACGATAAAATAGAAAGTCATGATATTTGAATCCTTCATCAGAGAAATCTATTCGAGCTCAAAACGACACAAGACAATGGCCATGATAAAGATACTCGTACAGATCGCGATGTGACTGGCCTCCAAAAGTGCTGCAAAAGACTTGAACAAGTTGAAGTATTTTTCAAAACAAGATTGTGAAAAAAAGCTGAGCGCTCGAGTGCGGCAAACACGGCCAAACGCCATGTTTTCCTTGGTAACATGACGTCAGCCACATTATCACCATGGCGAGTTGCAGCGCTGATTTTGAAGTACAGCGGGCACCAGAAAAGTGACCTTATTCTACCTGAGCGTGGGCTTGTTTATTTTAATCGGCCAATAAAGGGTTAAAATTAAAGAGGTCACATCACTGTTTGTGAATGGCCATTGCCATACTCACGTTCGGTGCGAAAACTTGAGATGAGTTCCTTGAGCTTGGTGTATTCCTTTGTGCACTTGTGTCGACTCAAATGTCGTACGAATGTTTCAACGTCGCGGTCATCCTCCACCTCTATCAGCTCTTTCAGCAAGTACTTCTTCTTCTGGCTTGTGCGCTTCTCTGTGTCTTTCAAGATTTCCTGAACGCGTGCCGTGTTGGCTAAAGACCGGAACTTGAACGTCTCGAAAACTTTCACCAAGTCCACCCTGGTCAGCAACTCTTGCTGCTCGTAAATGATCTGTTAGCACAGGCAGAGGGAAATAAGGCTAGTATTGGTCAAAACTACATTGCTGAGATGATAGCACTTGACCAAAGTATGATAGAGTATGGCATTTCGGCGAAGATACAACCACACAAGTGAATGCTGGAGATAATTTAATCCCGATGATTCACTGACAAAAAAGCTAGTGTGTAAGCTGTGTAATCAGTTTAGTTGTAGTTCATCTGTCATTAGTGTGATGTTGCAGGCCTCCTGGTTAATACTATATTATAGTATTGTACTATTATAGCGCGATCCATCAACAACGACCTGAAAAATTCCAGATCCACAAACTCCCTCACATCACACGAGGATCTAGTTGCACTGAGGCAGCTCGCCCAGGATCGTCGAAAGTGGAAGGAACTAATGTGTGCTGTGTGTAATGGCTGAAGTTATACAATTACACTAGATACCCTTAACAATAATAACGGATACAATCACACTAGATACCCTTAACAATAATAACGGATACAATTACACTAGATACTCTAGATACTAGATACTCGGTACTCTAGATACTAGATACTCGGTACTCTAGATACTAGATACTCTAACAATTTTATCAAACACTATGATAATTACCACATCAAATGCTGCGGAGACCTATCCAGAATCGGCAATATGCTGGCCCTGGCCTGGAGATCCGCAACTATAATCAGCTTCTACTTTGCAACACTAACGGATTAGTCCCCTTTGTCGATTGATGGATCAATCGGTAGATTCGGCTCTGTTTTTCTTTCCTTTCTTTCTTGTTTTGAATTGTACGTTGAACTCATTGGATTTCTTTGTATTCTGTATCTCGTTATCGTTATATTTCCCTCTAGCCCTCTCGCTTAGGATGAGCTTTCTTTTTTATGGCAGCTTAAGCGAAGGCTATATACCTGCTTTATGCAGGTTGATGCCAACGCGAACAAGCAAAATAATAATAATAATAATAATAACTATTATAGTATCTTTTACGACATTTATAATTATGTGTATCTGTTTTGTTCCCCTTCTCTGTGTTTTATGTTCCGGGTTCTTGGTCTTTAGTTTTGTCTTTGTTAGTGCTTTGGTTTGGCCAGTACTGTAATGATAATAATGTCCCAGAACATTACATTAGCGACGAAGATGAACTAGATTTAATACTTATAGTCATATAGATGACCTGAGTAGGCCTCAGTGACAATGGCGCTCACAGGAGTAGGCCCGGTTTTGGAGCCGTTCGATCTCGAGGGTCCTGACCATGAAGTTTCTGCAAGATGGCGCAGGTGGAAAAGATCATTCCAGTACTATGTGGATGGGCAGAACATAACATCCGCGAAGAGACAGAGGAGTCTGCTGCTGTATTTGGCTGGTATGCCAGTAAAAGAGAAATTTGAAACGCTAACAGAAGATGAGGACACCGACAATTATTCGAGCGAGGTATGAGTGCTTTGGACAAGGCTTTTGAGTTCGTCGCCAACAAGAGGTTCGAACGTTATAAGCTTCGTCAGATGTCACAACGGACTGGTGAAACAGTATCTCAGTTTTCGACCCATTTGCTTGGGCAAGGCAAATACTGTGATTATGGCACCGACATGGATGATCACGTATGCGACCAGCTACTCATAGGGATGTCGGACAACCGCCTCAGAAAGAAATTGTTAGAAGTCGACGACCTCACTTTGGCGGTGGCCTTGAAAAAAGGTCGCGAGTATGAAACAACGGAGCAGTACGCACGTGATATGTCAACATTGACAAGTGCAAGTCACAGTGCAAGCCATGATGGGCATGGGTCCAGTTCGTATGGTACGGGTATGGGTGAAGCTGCAACAGGAAGTGTGAATGCTGTGCACGGCGTACCCCAGCAAGAGTGTCACAACTGTGGAAAAATTGGCCACTTCGCCCGCGACCGGAACTGTCCTGCACGTGGCCAAAGGTGTAGAAAGTGTGGCATAAACGGTCACTTCGCATCCAAATGCAACGGAGGTGACAAACAGCGTAGATTCTACAGGCAACACGCGTCACACTCCCAAGTCGTCGGGAAAGGCAAGTTTGTACAGAAAAGTAAAATCACTTGGCAAATCAAATTCAAGACGTAGACGATTTTGTGTTTGGAGTGCGAGGAAGTAATTTGACACAGGACTCTATCGATGTCAGCCTCAATGGTGTGTCGACGCGAGTGCTAGTCGATTCTGGAACATCATGCAACTTGTTGGAAGAATCGACTTTGGGCCAGCTGCAATTGCAAGGCCTCGGTGTCACTTTGACGAAGTGCACCAGGAAGCTTTTCGCGTATGGAGCACACCAGCTGAATTTCGTCGGCAAGTTTACTGCAATTTTCCAATGCGGCTCAGAGCACACTGAGGATGAAGTGATCGTCGTCAGAGGAGATGGAGAGTTCTTGCTGGGACGTACTACTGCACTCAAGTTGAAAGCCTTGGTGCTACCTGACGTGAATCAAGTTGGCAGCGCCACAACTAGCCCCAGTATCAACGATGAAATCAAGAATGAGTATCCTGGTGTGTTCAGTGGTGTGGGCAAGTTAATTTGCTACCAAGCACGTCTTCATGTAGACCCTGAAGTTCCACCTGTGGCCCAACGCCAGCGTAGGATACCATATGCGTATGAAACCAAGGTGGATGAAAAACTTCAGGAGTTACAGCAATCAGGAATTATTGAAGAAGCTGTGGACCCGACGCCGTGGGTGAGCCCAATTGTGATAGCACCAAAGAAGCATGGCGACATCCGTTTGTGCGTGGATTTACGCCGGGTCAATGAAGCCATCGTCCGAGAACGACATCCGATGCCAACAACAGAGGAGCTGTTGCATGAAGTCACTGGCAGCACAGTGTTTTCGAAGATTGACCTGAAGTGGGGATTTCACCAAGTAGAGTTGGAAGAAGAGTCCCGCTACCTGACACGTTTTGCTGCAAATGGAAAGTTGTACTGGTTTCGTCGTCTGCCATTTGGTATAAGTTCAGCGCCAGAGCTGTACCAGAAGATCATCAGCGATGTGATCAAGGATTTGGCCGGGTGCAGAAACAGAGCTGATGATATCTTGCTACATGCGGACTCACTGAACCAGCATGATGTGAGGGTTCATGTATTGATGAATCGCTTGCAGCAGGTCAACCTCGCAGTCAACCCAGCAAAGTGTGACTTCGCTAAGAGCTCCATTGAGTTCTTCGGCTTGCAGATATCTGACAAGGGCATACAGCCAACTCCGGAAAGGATACGATCCTTGGCGGAAGCATCCAGGCCGAGCAATGCATCGGAAGTAAGAAGCCTCCTCGGTACAGCCGGTTTCAGTGCAAAATTCACCCCTGATTTTGCTGCAGTTGCTGAGCCACTGCGTCGCCTCACGGTCAAGGGAGCTCAGTTCAAGTGGACTACAGAGCAACAGAAAGAGTTAGGCCCGTGACCTAAAGCGACTACTGGTGTCCAGCTCAACACTGGCATACTATGATGCTGAAGCGCCGATCGAGTTAGTGACGGATGCCAGTCCAGTTGCACATGTACATGCATACGAGTACTGAGTCTGTGTACCGTTTACTGTCTCCTTGTCAGTGTTTTTGGGCGATCCTCCACACCTTCATTTGTCCATTACGTGTTTTCCTTCTCCTTTTATTAATTCTATAAAAATATTCACTCACTACAACTTCTCGTGATTGCTGGTGGGAATGTACAAACTGTTGCCTGCTATGCCTGCTTGTTAGTGAGAGTGCACCAGACATGTATCGATATGTATGCCTGACGAGATGTTCTTGAATTGGCATGCTGCTTTGACAAGAACTTTGGTTTGATAAGGTTTAGAATTGGGTGCTCAATGGCCTGGAGGAATTAATCATGTTTGCGATCAGTATCACCAAGAGTACGGTTCTTCCGTCTATGCATCTCTTCTTGTCTGGTGGATTGTTTGAAAGGAGATAAAATAACAATGCATAAATACCTATATTCTGCCTGTGACTACTCACAGGGAAAGAGTGGTCGCAACTGTACATTATGCATGTAACTGTTCGCATGGAATTATAGTGGTCACAACTGTATTCTGTGACCGCTCATAGGGAATTATAGTTTCCACAACAAATCCTGCAGGACGAAGCACTCCGCGAGCAGTCACGAATTGTGTGCTTTACACATGTATATGTATGGTAATTTGTGACTGGTCATGGGGCATTGTGACTGGTAAACTAATTTGTGACTGGTCATGGGGAGTTGTGACTGTTTGACTGGTCAAGGGAACCGTGATTGGTCATGGGGCCTTGACTGGTCACTGGGTCCTACATATGGGCCTCAACCTGCGAAAACAGCCCTTAGGGTCAACATTTTCAAAATTCCTTTTTGGTTAGAAATTTGTTGAAACACATCTACTAAAGGACCTCAGCCAAGAAAAAGGTCTATATTCCGATTCAAAACGGGTGTATACATCAATATACAAGATGTACTCCAAATTGGTGCATTGTATGTATACGATGTATGCGTACAATGAATATTCAGCATTCAAAGGTGGGTGGGCAGCTTGAATACCTTTGAAATAGTGCAGTAAGCAGGTATAATGACAAAGAATGGCTGATGATTGCGGAGAAATGATCGACATATTCACAGTTGCACCCTGCGTGGAGTCGTTCCACAATCTAGTCTTTCATTTCATCCTCCACAGCTGAAGACACGACGTCGCTGCCGTCACTAGCCCCAGACTCAGAATTTGTCTCAGGTGACGACTCCTCATCTTCCGACTCTGGCAAGTCATCGGCCACCTTGAGCCGCATCGCAGCAGGAGATGACGGCTGCGATTCCGCCTCGCTGTCGACATCGACGTCGGAACCAAAGAACTTCTGTCTCATTCTCACTCTGAACTTCAGCGGCTACTTCGGCATCCACTCCCCACCAGGCTCGAGCTAGCTGTACACAATGACTGCCGTGTGTGCTCTGCGAACAGCTCTGGCGTCCGCAGCCATCGCAACAAGATCAAGGGACACTCGAGTCGCCACTCGACACCACTTCTTCAAAATAAATTACTTCAAGCAAGGAGTTCAAGAAGAACTGCTGTTCGCAGCGCGATCAAAAAAATCGTTGAACGTCACAAATCGACCTTTTTCTCGAAAAAATCACGAAACCTCTAAGGGTCGTTTTCACTGATTGCGGCTCATATACTATTATAGTAACATATTTTATGACATGGATTGATAGAAAGTTTTTGGTTATTTGTCGCGTTTTGGAAAGTCTATTTTGGTTTATTCCCGTAGCTATGCAGAAGACGCTACTTCAGTAACGTCTGGCGCTAGCCAGGGTCCACACAGCTTTAATTTGGTGTTTGTTTGTTTGTTTGTGTCACGGCTGGAGCTATCCCGTATCTGTCCCGTATCTGTCCCGTATCTGTGACTACAAAGGCTCTACAGGATTGTACATAACAGCTGTCCACAATATTTGCGGGCTCCTGTATCTGTCCCGTACCGTACCAATATTCGTCGTATTATGTATACGACTCCCTGATGTAGAGGGAGATTTGGAAAGAAATAGGGAGACGAGGAGGAAATTAAATTAGAATAGACGTCGAATAGGTGATAGGATGCGTCAGCATAAACATACTTTGGAAGAGAGATCCCGTCGTCTCCAAAATAAGCGTGAACGAGCGATCCAGCGCCAGTCACAGGAAACGTCGGAAGAGAGATCCCGTCCACTCCAGAACGCCCGTGATCGGCAGAGTCCGCCGGTCCCAGGCAACGTCAGGACAGACATCCCGTTGAGTCCAGAACGCCCGTGATCGGCAGAGTCAGCGCCGGTCCCAGTAAACGTCAGGACAGACATCCCGTCGCCGTGCCGAAAAACTAAATCTGCACCCTCTTTTGCCGTCGGACAGGATACGTATTATAGGAGACTGTAAAGTTATGTAATGTCCAAATTTCGACGTGAGCAGCAGGTCACTCGCGTTGATTTTTCGACGTGCGAGCCAAATAACGCGAGCTGAACTTTCGCGTCGCAGACATCCCGTCGACGCGCAGAAAAACTAAATCTGCAGCCTCTTTTGCCGTCGGACAGGATACGTATTATAGGAGGCTGTATAGTTATGTAATGTGCTCCACAGGCAACCAAGCATTCGGCGAAGTGATTGGCTCAACAGGTCAATGTACATGTATTACTACAAAAAGGCCAGAAAATCCGATTACTGTATTAAAATCAACTAATTTTCGCTGGCGATTTAATTTCGCTGATTTCGCCGCTTGGTACCAAACGGCCAAAGTAAATCGCAGGCCAAAGTTTGTCATATAGGCAAATGATGCATGATTGAGCAATGGATGCATGAGAGAGCAAAAATACCGATCGGTTTCAAATTTGACGTGAAATTGCGCGTCACGTCGGAAATAACGTGCATCTTAACCTCTCTAATAGAGAGGTTTCTATTTCTCATCGGCCAAAATTTGTTGATTTACAGTATAAGGAGATAAAAAGAAAAGAAGGAACAAACCAAAAGTAGATGATTATTAGAGAAATAACAATCCGCAATAAATTCTGCAAATACTTTTGCCTAACTCATAATATTGAAACCGATTGAAACGTTTTTGCAATATTATATATGTGGCCAATCAACGGAAAAAAGACATTTCAATCAGTTCTTATAACATGTACGATGAGCTAGGCAAAAAGGCATAAAAGCATAGCGTAGGGCCCTGAGCTTCCAAGCTCTCTCGTTTAGTTTGTTGAAATGCTACGTTCAAGTTTGCTATGGTCAGTATTTCTATGGACTGTAGTTGTAGACTTTCGAGAAAAGGAGGAATGTGATGTTGCAGGCCTCCTGGTTATTATAGTATTGTACTATTATAGTATCTTGTACGATATTTATTATGTCTATCTGTTTTGTTCCCGTTCTCTGTGTTTTATGTTCCTGGTTCTTGGTCTTCAGTTTTGTCTTTGTTGGTGCTTTGGTTTGGCCAGTACTGTAATAATAATAATGTCCCAGAACATTACATTTGGTATACTTACACCATGCTTTGACAAGTATTTTAGGTTTTGTTGTCAAAATACTTGAAAACAGTGATGAACAGTGATACTGATTGCATAGAAAAGACACTTGCAGAAGAACATGCAATAAGCCGAAAGATATGCCACTGAACCTTGCTGACCTGTTTTAATACCAAAGCATTTTGATATCTTATAAGAAGGCTAGAGGACCAAAGAGTTAGAAGTTACGCTATGGTATCCACTAACACCACCGGTGTACCGTTGGTCAGTGTTGTGCAATAATATCGCATGAGCTGATTGTAAAGCAACTGGTGGTGTTGGTGGATATTATAGCGTAACTTATTGCTCTTTGGTCCTCTAGCCTTCTTATAAATGAATTAGGGGTGAAACGGTTCCATGTTTTTCATGTTCGGGTACCCGAATGCCAGCATTGTTTCCCACGGTTCGGGTATCGGTTCCATGGACTCTTTTGTCCAGACCGACAAAATGCGTTCGCGACAATTATTTTTTAGAAAAAAACAGTTTTACGAGCAAGAATGAGACATCGGAGAGTCCAAGTGCGAAGAAGATAATGACCCGAGAACTCTTTGGAAGAGTGGGGATCGTAAGGTAAGACATTAAAATCTTGAGTAGACTTGACGTGTACATGTATTTTGTACAAGAACGAGATTTTTCGAGTTTCGGTTCGAAATTTGACGGAACGGGTACCCGATTCTTTTCAGCTGGTGGTTCCAAAACCGGTTCCTTACCCGAACCGTTTCACCCCTAAAATGAATCCTTGGCTTTTCTTCAATCTAATCATTTTGATACTAAATAATATTTTAGAGTATCAGTAGAGCAATACCACTTTCACCACATGTGCTCTCTGGCCGGCCTCACCGTACCAGCAACATGACTCCAAGTTGTAGTAGAGATACTAAAATTCTCCATTCGAAACTACACTACTGCAGATCAATAGCCGTTGTATGTGCATGATGCAGACATCCAGCAATTGCAAGCACACCACTTGATCATGTCATTATGTCTTACTCACCGTATTCAATTTGTCTGGGGACGGTGGAGTGATGGAGAATGGAGCACACACCGTTGCCTTCCTACAGATTTCAACAGAAATGCAATTATACCGCAAAATACACATGCATGCACGTGCAAGCACGCGCACGCACACATACATACACACACACACATACACACACACACACACACACACACACACACACACACACAGAACAGAGATATATGGATAAGCGTAAAAAAAGAAAAGAAGAAAAAAGCCTTTGATGAATCGATATCTGCCATGCCACGGAAATGTGTATCAAAGGTGCATCAAGGCAGATAACGCAGAACCTGTCAGGCCACCTGTGATTCCACATGGGGGTGGTGGGGAGGGGGGGGGGGGGACAGATCAACAAGATATCTCATAATGTAGCAGGCTCTGTGTACACGTATATGTGCCAGCCATCATGTGAAATGATCAGAACGGGACAGGAATATAATGTGTCACGATTTGGACCGCCAAGAACTAAATTTCTTTTACAATGCTGTAGAAAAAAACAGGGATATGTAGCATCCAGGGAGAAACCCGCAAGGTCAAATTACTTGAAAAAATGCTTGTTCGGAAGCCTAGTATCTGCATGAGGTTGATACGGAAAAATGGAATTTGACAGAACGTACCGGATGAAAATATACTAGTAAAGAGATGGGCTGATGTGAATGTGTGTGTGTATGTGTGTGTGTGTGTGTGTGTGTGTGTGTGTGTGTGTGTGTGTGTGTGTGTGTGTGTGTGTGTGTGTGTGTGTGTGTGTGTGTGTGTGTGTGTGTGTGTGTGTGTGTGTGTGTGTGTGTGTGTGTGTGTGTGTGTGTGTGTGTGTGTGTGTGTGTGTGTGTGTGTGTGTGTGTGTGTGTGTGTGTGTGTGTGTGTGTGTGTGTGTGTGTGTGTGTGTGTGTGTGTGTGTGTGTGTGTGTGTGTGTGTGTGTGTGTGTGTGTGTGTGTGTGTGTGTGTGTGTGTGTGTGTGTGTGTGTGTGTGTGTGTGTGTGTGTGTGTGTGTGTGTGTGTGTGTGTGTGTGTGTGTGTGTGTGTGTGTGTGTGTGTGTGTGTGTGTGTGTGTGTGTGTGTGTGTGTGTGTGTGTGTGTGTGTGTGTGTGTGTGTGTGTGTGTGTGTGTGTGTGTGTGTGTGTGTGTGTGTGTGTGTGTGTGTGTGTGTGTGTGTGTGTGTGTGTGTGTGTGTGTGTGTGTGTGTGTGTGTGTGTGTGTGTGTGTGTGTGTGTGTGTGTGTGTGTGTGTGTGTGTGTGTGTGTGTGTGTGTGTGTGTGTGTGTGTGTGTGTGTGTGTGTGTGTGTGTGTGATGAATCCGGAAACAGCGGGTTGCCCTGCCCTGCTGCAGAGCGCATTGTCTCGGCTGCGGTCGCTGCTGCAAGTCATCCCGTGGTTTCGACCTGCATAGCTGTGCTAATTTCCTGTCCAGGAAGTAGAGCGGCATTTCTGGATCCAATGCTGAACTCAGTGCTGTCGACCCCTGCACAGGGGACACGTGACCATTTGATGGCAGTGTTACCAAGGACCAAGGTGTGTGTGTGTGTGTGTGTATGTGTGTGTGTGCGCGCTTGTGTGTGTGTGTGTGTGTGTGTGTGTGTACGTGCGTGGCACTCTACCAATAACCTCAGCATCAAAATTAGTTGCAACATTGAACACAGTGTCGAAGTGGCGCTGCCATCGAGCTGCAATTTGTGTCTGCGAGGTAAGAGCATTGCCATTTTCATCCACAATTGATGTTGTTTTTAACCTTTACTTTTCTGCTGTCGTGCACGAGTGGCGTTCTGGTTGTGTCTCTGCTGGGATACCAGTGGCATACCGTCTTGGTCGGATGCTTGTCGGTGACCGCACAGCTAAGTCTCGCCTGTCACGCTGTTCTGTCACGGAATCAACATTCACTGATGATGCCGCCACATACACACAGTCAGTCGAGGACATGGGAGCTGCTGGCAGTTCCTTCATTGCCACTGCAAGCAGGTTTGGCCTCACTGTAAGCTTCACTAAGACCAAACCTATGGTAGTGAATGCCCCGTCGCCATCATCCGGCCTTTTAGAGTTGCCTGAGGGTAGCATTGAGCTCGTGCCTGATTTTACGTATCTCGGAAGTTGTATTTTTTCGGATGGCCAGATGGCTGCTGAGATTTCGGCTCGCTTGGCGAAAGCTTCCCGAGCATTTGACACATTGCGCTCATCTGTCTTTTCCAATCGTGATCTCTACGTCAAGACGAAGGTGCACATATATTCGGCCGTTGTCTTGTCGAAGCTGCTGTATGGTTGTGAGTGTAGTGTATGTGTAGTTGCATGACATCATTATTGTGTGTACACCAGTCCGCATGCGCGGTCTCTGAATCTGCATAACTTCTAGTGGAGCGGTGTTCTTTTCCCGCGCTTTGCTTGCTTTTCGGACTGTTCTTCCAGATGTACTTGTAATGGTAGTTTTCTCCGACCCTGTGATTGTGCTTTGCTGAACCCGATATAACAAGTGGCGAGGAAGATCGGATCATGGCGCTGCTCGGAAACCTGGGCCCCTTCACATCGACGGATGCTGATGACTGGGAGTCTTATCTGGCCAGGCTGGATCAATTCTACAAAGCGAATAAAATTGAGGACGGGCGGAAGAAATCTGTATTCTTGACAGTTGTAGGAGAAAGTGTTTTCAGGTTGCTAGTGACGCTGATCGCACCAGCAACACTGGATGACAAGTCCCTCTCAGAGCTGCGACAGACTCTGACTGCACACTTCTCCCCTAAGCGTCTGACAATTGCGGAACGCTACAAATTTTGGAGCCGCAGCCAGCAGGCAAGTGAGAGTTATCATGACTATGCCGCTGAGCTACGACGTTTGGCAAAGACCTGTGACTTCGGCAATGGTCTGGAAGATGCCATCCGCGACAGGTTCGTCTGTGGCATACGAGACGCTGTCGTTTGTAAAAAATTGCTGACCATCGATGCCCTCACTTTGGAGACTGCTCTGAAAACGGCTGCAGCTCAGGAGGTGGTCGATCGCGAGGCTGCGCGCTTGATGGCCGCGGGTAGATCTACCTTCGAGTCCAGCGATGTCCATGCCGTTTGGCACAAGTCCGGAGCCAGCACTACTGACGGGGCTGCGCCTTGTTATCGCTGTGGCAATAAGGACCATGCTCCTTCACAGTGTCGCTTCAAGGCTTCCGAGTGCCACTACTGCCACAAGCGTGGGCACCTCGAGAAGGTGTGTCGTACGAAAAAGGGCGACCAACACCAAACCAATTTTGTATGTGAGGAGCATGAAGTTGGTGATGTGTACTCCGTAGAGTCCCGTCCCAAGCTAACTGTGAATGTGATGTTAGACGGGGTGGAAACGACAATGGTGCTCGACACCGGAGCTGCAGTGAGCCTTATGTCACGTGAGACGTGGGACCGTACCAGTGACAAACAACTCGAACCGGCTAACATCAAGCTGCGCTCGTACACAGGTGATGAAATCAATGTGTTGGGTCAAGCCACAGTGGAGGTATGCTATGATGGCCGTACAACGCCATTGCCACTGCTCATTGTTGAAGGCGAGGGTGCTACACTGCTCGGAAGGAATTGGTTGCCGCACGTCCGACTCGACTGGTCATCCGTGTTTGGGGTTGACGAACCTACGGATGGACCCGATTTGGAGCGGATAGTTGCTGACAATGCGACCTTGTTTGACGGCCACGTTGGTGAGCTGCGAATAGGCGCATCTACCTTGCATCTGAAAGAGGACGCACGACCGGTATTCAGGCGTCCCTATTCAGTGCCGTACGCTGTCAAGCCCTTGGATGAGGAGCAGCTCAGGAAGATGGAGCAGCAGCACATTATAGAGCCTGTCAAGCACAGCGAGTGGGCAACACCAGTAGTGGCTGTTCCAAAGCCCGATGGTTCAGTTCGTCTCTGCGGTGACTACAAGGTCACTGTGAATCCCCAACTACGAGTGGACCAGCACCCACTGCCGACAGCGCAGGACATCTTCAGCTCCCTGAATGGCTGCAAATATTTTGCGAAGCTGGATTTGTCGCAGGCGTATCTGCAAGTGCCGTTGGATGAGGCGTCCCAGAAGATGACTACCATCAACACGCACAAGGGCCTGTACCAGTTCAATCGTCTGCCCTACGGTGTTGCATCGGCTCCAGCGGTGTTCCAAGGAATCATGGACAAGCTCCTGGTTGGCTTGGAAGGCGTGTCAAGTACCTGGACGACATCCTGATCGCTGCACCCACTCGCAGACTACTGCTGCAACGTCTGAACACGGTGTTGTCGATTATGTTGCAAGCTGGTCTGAAGCTAAAGAAATCGAAATGCATGTTCTTCTCCGACTCAGTCCAGTACCTCGGCTTCAAAATTGACGCATCGGGTCTACACGCCACCGATGAGAAAGTGCAAGCGGTTCAGAACGCACGTGCACCGACGAATGTCACGGAGCTCAAGTAATTCTTGGGTCTGGTGAATTATTATGGCCAGTTCATTGAGAACCTGGCTTCGCTCGCACAGCCTCTCTACGATCTCCAGAAGCGTAACACCGTCTGGAAATGGCAAGCGCCACAGCAGCAAGCCTTCAGAGCTTTGAACTCAGCTCTGAGTGCACCACCAGTTCTAGTTCATTATAGCCCTTCGCTACCGCTACGTCTGACCTGCGATGCATCAGGCACAGGAATTGGCGCTGTCTTGTCCCATGTGATGCCGGAAGGGCAGGAGCAACCAATCGCATACGCCAGCCGCTCTTTGACAACCAGCGAGCGCAATTATAGCCAACTGGAACGAGAAGCGCTTGCTATCGTGTTCGGTGTCACCAAGTTCCACTTGTACCTCTATGGACGGCACTTCAACCTGGTGACCGACAACCGCCCTCTTGCCGTAATCTTCGGTCCAAAGAGAGGCATCCCCTCAATCGCAGCCATGCGGTTGCAGCGTTGGGCTGTAACACTATCAGCGTATCAATACGATGTGATGGTAAAGACGACTGAAGCCAACACCAACGCTGATTACCTGTCACGCATGTCGCTGGATTCGCATAGCGTTGATGTGTGTGAGGTGTCTGAGATTCTGACGACTCACCAGGATCAGCTGCCAGTCCTCGCAGCAGACATCAGTGCAGAGACGGCCAAGGACATCGTGCTCAAGCAGGTACTGCAGCATGTCGCCAATGGTTGGCCCGAGACTGTCCCATCAGAGCTGAAGCCCTTCCACCGCATCGCAGAGGAGCTCACAGTAGTGCAGGGCTGCCTTCAGCGAGGATTTCGCACGGTGGTGCCCAGCACGCTTCAGCCCCGGCTCCTTCAAGAGTTACACATTGCACACCCTGGTATGGTGCGCATGAAGGCTTTGGCAAGGAACCATGTATGGTGGCCAGGTCTTGACAGCGACGTGGAGCGAGCCGTCCGAAGCTGCCATGCATGCCAAGTGAACAGGAATCGTGATCAACCAGTGGAGGTGACACGTTGGCCCAATCCAGCAGCACCCTGGAGTCGCATTCACGCCGATTTTGCTGGACCAATGGAAGGACGAATGTATTTGATCGTGACTGATGCATTCTCCAAGTGGTTGGAAGTGATTCCTATGTCCTCCACCACCAGCAAGACGACTATCGCAGAGTTCCGGAAGCTGTTTGCGGCGTATGGTTCTCCTGATGCAATCGTGACGGACAACGGCCCGCAGTTCACGTCCGTGGAGTGGAGCAACTTCATGGCTGAGAGAAGTATCATCCACCTGCGCAGTGCACCATACTTCCCCGCAACCAACGGAGCTGCAGAACGCTGTGTCCAAACATTCAAAGCTGCCTTGTTGAGTGAGAAGCGTGGTCTACTGTCCTGGACCGAGGCACTGCAGACGTTCTTGGAACGGTATCGCTCGACTCCTCACGCGACAACAGGAGAAACTCCATCGGCATTGTTCCTTCAACGGGAGCTCAAGACCAGACTGCACCTGGTACAGCCGCAAGCCAAGAATACCACCACCGCTGCCTGCCACCAGCCGCCAGCAAAAGGGTTGGACGAAGGCAGCGCCGTCTATGCGCGGATGTTCAACCAGCCTCAGAAGTGGTCAGCTGGCACCGTATTGCAGCGGAAAGGCACCAAGTCTTTCGAAGTTAAGCTGGCCAATGGTGTCATTGTGCGTAGACATGTGGACCAGCTGCGTGTTCGTGATCCTGCAACGACTCCTGAGCTTCCCTCTGATCCTGAGAAGGTAGTTCAGCAACGTGATGCTCGGACGGGCGTCACGCACTGAAGCCACAATGCTACAGGGGCTTAACTATTCTAGAGCACCGCTCTGTTCTCTTGTTCATGTTCAGCCGCCTTCTCATAATGCTCACTCTTCGCACACTGTCCTTCCCTCTGTTAGGCTCTCCCTTGTGTTTTTGAAGGGGGAGATTGTAGTGTATGTGTAGTTGCATGACATCATTATTGTGTGTACACCAGTCCGCATGCGCGGTCTCTGAATCTGCATAACTTCTAGTGGAGCGGTGCTCTTTTCCCGCACCTTGCTTGCTTTCAGACTGTTCTTCCAGATGTACTTGTAATGGTAGTTTTCTCCGACCCTGTGATTGTGCTTTGCTGAACCCGATATAACAGTGAGACATGGGCAATTAAGGCCGTGGGTGTTCGTCGGCTTGCAGCCTTTCATCACCGCTGCGTTCGCTTCCTGCTGGATATTCCCAGAGAAACACAATGGCAGGAACCCTTCACCAACACCACTCTCCTTGAACGAGCCAAGGTACAGCCGATCGAGGAGGCACTGAATGTCGACTCCGCTGGTTAGGCCATGTTGCTCGAATGGATGACTCCTGTATGCCAAAGTGTATCCTCTTCGGCGAACTGGACAAGACCCGGCCACGTCATGGGCCCCGGAAGCGGTGGCGGTGCAATGTTGTGTCCGACATGAAGGACCGCCAGATAGTGGACTGGTACGGCCTCGCCCAGGATCGCAGAGAGTGGAGATCAGCATGCAGCACCATTCTTCCGACCGACGGACCGTCACCTTAGACTTCATTTGCACTTGTGGAAAGCGCTATCGCCGTCGCCAGGACTTGACTCGCCACGCCCGATTCTGCTCGTGACTTGAACACTGTTGGTCCCTTCGGGACCTGCTATCATCTCCGAATGGGCATATTTTGTATTGTTGTATTGTATTGTGTGTGTGTGTGTGTCTGTGTGTACATGGTTGCCCGTCGACGTCTGCAGTGGCTTGGCCACATTGCCAGGATGAACGATCACCGGCTTTCAAAGGCAGTGTTGTTCTCGTGGCTCCATACTCCACGCCCTGCTCATGGCCCCAGGCGCCGATGGCGTGATGTGGTACGCGATGACCTCAAGGCGTTCGGTCTCTACACCGGTTGGTACGACCTCGCAGCTTAACGTGGCGAGTGGATCCAGTCCATCTCGGATGCCATTTTTGCACGGTGCTTACGCCTTGAAATGACAGCCAAGTCAGTGTGTTGTGTGATCTGTGAGCGACTCTTCGCCAGTGAAAGCAGACTTCGTCGGCACGAATGCAGGGAAGAGCGACTGAAGCCGATCCATGAACAGGCCGGTGCAGTGTTGTGCGAAACGTGCTATCGTTGGTTTGCTAGCCGAGGTGGATTTGCTGTGCACAGCTGCTTTCCCAGCCTTGGTAATGCTCCAGTTCCAGAGATAGTTGCACCTCGCCCACCTGATTGCAGCCAATGTCAGTACCACTGTCACACCTGTGACCGCTGTTTCCGGAGCAAAGCTGGGCACCGCCGGCACAACTGCATCCGCAGAACATGCAGCTCTGGCTCCGAGCCCCGCACCATCCCATGCCCGACCTGCTCTCAGGAGTTCACATGTCTCCAGTACCTGGTTCAACACAAATGCAAGAAGTAACTCTGCCCTCCTTGCCTCTTTGAGGCACTGCATCACTTTAGGTGGCAGTTTCAAGGTTTCAAGGTGTGTGTGTGTGCATGCGTGTGTGTGTGTGTGTGTGTGTGTATATGTGTGTGTGTGTGTGTGTGTGTGTGTGTGTGTGTGTGTGTGTGTGTGTATGTGTGTGTGTGTGTGTGTGTGTGTGTGTGTGTGTGTGTGTGTGTGTGTGTGTGTGTGTGTGTGTGTGTGTGTGTGTGTGTGTGTGTGTGTGTGTGTGTGTGTGTGTGTGTGTGTGTGTGTGTGTGTCATCTAAAACAAACCTTTGTTCAACGGGATCCTCCAGAATGTATTGCTCATCTCTCTCTGCAACCAAACACAGGTCAACACCAAGTAGTTGGGTCGAAACGCTCTTTGATCTCTACAAGTGCAATACTATTATAGTATGAGTGGGTAGGATGCCTTTTTTTTTAAATTAAGAATAACATACCTAGCTCGTAAGGTGAAAAGACAAAGGAAAAATTGTTGGCGACCACAGGAAGAGACTAAGTTCCCAGGACTGCTTGTATTAGGCATTATCTCATGGCACTTTCCTGGTTGGTTGTCTATTCTGCAGAGATATTTGTGAAAAATAGAGTACGGTTAACTGAACGGTCATTTCCTGTACTTCATTACGTGAAGGGGTGGGAAACGGTTCATTTCAGACACCAGGCTAGTTCAAAGCGTTAAGAAGTGCAAATGTTCATACAAAGGTTTGTGTCTTTAGAGTATCCGCAAATTTATTCATTTCCTCGACCTCCTACTTTACCCTGTTGTACTTTTATTTGTACCAGCTGGCTTGAAAGGAATGACATCAGGAGTCAAAATCTAACGATAGATAAGGACATTTGCATTCACTCTGCACATAAGGAAGTACAGGGTGTGGTGGGTGGGCCCCTGTTGTCGCTCGCAGGTGTGATGTTTTATGAACAATGAGTGGGGGCTCTGACCGGGATGGCCCAATCCAGTCATTACTGGCACGAGAGCACGACGGAACGAACAGGCCAGAAATTCACCAAATACAGCATACCGTTACATGTATATACATGGTGAGTCTACTGCTTATAAACAGCTGTGTATCCTAATTGGAATGGCCTAGGCTACGGTTCCTGACAGTACTGTATGCTGTGACGGAAAACCACACAAACGTGTATGGATCCCTGCAAACACTGGATTCAAACGGATTCCGAAAGTCAGCGTTTTCATGACACCGGGCTGGCTGTGACGAAGCATTTTCAAGCCCTGCTAGGATGCCCCTTCCCTCTAACCGCAGCTCTGTATTATGGCTAGAAAGAAGTAGAAATTGTCATCCTTCCAAAGGCAATCATTGATTATTTCTCGAAACTGCATTTTATAACCAGGAATTTCATCTGTGAAAAATCTCATATAATTCTGAAGAAAGGCAATTTGTCTCGTCAATTTTTTTCATGTGTCCTGAAGCTTATTGAAAGCCTCGGCAGATCACCATAAGTTCAGAATTGAAATTCGTCGGAAAGCCCTTCGGACAAAAAGGAACAAAAGATTCCACAGACAACATTTCTGCTTATGTACGGGGAGCAGAGTAAACCAAGCTAATTTTTGAGACTACGAGTTTCACAAAAAGGTATTCATAAGTAGGCACTAGTCTGCATATACAGCATGTTTGTTGGATAGCCTTTTGTGATAGCGAAACACGTCATGGCCCGCGCCCACCCACTGCAAATAAGCAGGAGCCTGAGAGCTGATAGTCGTTTAGCTCTTAACGTTTTTGCAACTCATTCAGCATGTATCATGGCAGGGGAAAAAACCAAAAATTCACTCTTTTCAAAACTCATTCTTTTCATTCACAATGACACAGGCAAAAAAATAGCTTGATGAGATATAGACTAACCTGGCACAAATCTGTACGCCTCTTTATCCAGAAACCTTGCCAACTCTCTGGTGGTGGAGGTCATCTCCCTATACAGGATCTTCAGAAAGGTGTAGAAGGAGGCGTTGTTGCCTTTCGAAAGCTCGTCGATCAGATGGAGCGCTTGCTCCTCGTTCGATATCATGCGTGCTTCAGCTTGCAGCTGGCCTCTGGTCATGCCAGTGATGAGATCCTCCTGCAAGCAGAACAATGCCACCTCCGCCGCAGGTATCTTGCACAGCTCTTTTAGATTAGGTCTTGCTACCTGAGATGATGCACAGAGAAGCACACGAGCATGAAATGCACCAGCAGATTAGCGGCTTGAGAAACGGGGGATCTTCCATGATGATGATCAGATCCAAATCATTTTTCCTGTCAAGGGTGCTAAGTTATACCAGATCCAATAACATGCAACGTCAATAATTATAATAATTTGGGAACAACTCTGGCGACAGAAAATTGATATTGTAAAGGAGCTTGCATATCTATCTTTTGAAATGTGTTTGCTGCAATCCATGCTAAGTGGAAGCGGTGCTGTGTAAGCTACATGTGAGTGAGAGAGAGAGGGTGGCGAACAACTACATGATTGCTAGCAAGAAAGAGAGTGGGAGAGGAAGAGAGGGAGGGATAGAGAGACAGAGACAGAGAGAGAAAGAGAGAAAGAGAGAAAGAGAGAGAGAGAAAGAGAGAGAGAGAGAGAGAGAGAGAGAGAGAGAGAGAGAGAGAGAGAGAGAGAGAGAGAGAGAGAGAGAGAGAGAGAGAGAGAGAGAGAGAGAGAGAGAGAGAGAGAGAGAGAGAGAGAGAGAGAGAGAGAGAGAGAGAGAGAGAGAGAGAGAGAGAGAGAGAGAGAGAGAGAGAGAGAGAGAGAGAGAAGGAGAGAGAGAGAGAGAGAGAGAGAGACGGAGAGAGTGTGTGTGTGAGAGAGAGACAGAGAGACAGAGGCAGAGACAGAGAGACAGACAGAAACAGAGAGAGACAGAGAGATAGAGAGAGATAGAGAGAGATAGAGAAAGAGAAAGAGAAGGAGGAGGGGGAGGAGAGACAGAGACAGAGAGACAGAGAGAGACAGACAAACAGAGACAGAGACAGACAGAAAGACAGACTGAGAGACAGACTGAGAGACAGACAGAGAGCAGACAGAGAGGCAGAGAGACAGAGAGACAGAGAGACGGAGAGACAGACTGAGAGACAGACAGAGAGACAGACAGAGAGACAGAGAGACAGAGAGAGAGAGAGAAATAGAAAGAGAAGGAGGAGGAGAAAGAAAGACAGAGAATGAGAGAGAGACAGAGAGAGACTGATAGACAGAGAGACAGAGGAGGGACAGACATAGAGGGAGAGAGAGAGAGAGAGAGAGAGAGAGAGAGAGAGAGAGAGAGAGAGAGAGAGAGAGAGAGAGAGAGAGAGAGAGAGAGAGAGAGATAGAGAGACACACACACACACACACACACAGCGGGAGAGAGAGAGAGGAACCTAGATAAATGGCCGAAGATAGGGACCTAACAATAATAGAACAGGCAGTCTCTATTTGGACTGACTAGACTCAAGTGCATCATTCTGTATGGTTGCACCCATAATGAAAAACTAGAATATGTTTTCGCAACCTTAGGTCACTGCAATGCAACTCTCCCCTTGGCTGTGCTGCACATGCATCTCACCTTCCTCCACAGATCCTCCTCGAACCTTCTACGCATTCCTTTGCCTCGAGCCTGCGGTGTGCTTCCTCCATCCTCATTGGGCAGGATCGATTGTCTTCTCTTCTGCAGTGGTTGTCTAGCATGACACATGAAAGTCAACAGCATGCCATGACTGGCTAATCTGTATTGGATGCACATCTGATACAAACCTGTAGCATGATGCTTGGTATGGATAGGCCACACATATATTTCCCACAAATTTAGGGGCAATTGGCCAACGCCAGATGGTGAGACTCAAAACTGACTGAGGAAGCCAGGAAATGAAACAAGGATAAAGAACACACCAGATGCCGTATTTACAACCGAAAAATGTCGTGTGAGAAATTATTTCTCCCTTATCTCGCTGCGCTTGGCCAGCGAGAAATACAACTGCTCGCCAATTCTCATGGAGTTCTGAAGCTGCAGGTTGCCTCACCCCTAATATGTAAACAGTTGTGCTTGAATAGAAAATGCTACCTTTTTCTAGTTGATCTGCGTTGCTCCTCCCGTGCCATCGTCTTCTTAATGCTACGGAAGCAGCCTGTAGGAAAGGGAACAACACAAGCACATTGCTGGAAATAAAAGAGAGGAAAACTATTTCTATTTTTTGATAAGTGTAGTGTGAAACTCAGAGTTGGGAATAAGAGTGCATATTTCCTGCCGCGTAAACATAACATTATTTTCGTTGGCATTGTATCTGAGTGGAAAGACACGTAGTGTCTATAATCGTAATGAGCTCACTGAAGAGCCAAAACATCACTTAGAATATCTACTAAGGGCAGATCGAGAGTTTTGTTTCTAAAAATCCATAACACCACTGCCATCCCCCATGTCCACGTGTCCCCAGTGTCCCCGGTGTGTCTTGTCTATGCTATCAACATGGGGCTTCCTCTTTACTGTATTTATGCTCATATTCTTGGTAATGTTAGGTTGTTAAGGGATGGCAGGCATAGTGGGATGGTCTAGGACCATGATTGGGAAACAGATGGTACAGGGTTCAAGTCCTGCTTGGAAGCGGACGGATTTTTTCCAGCCGTGCTGCGACTCTCTGTCACCCTAATACGTGAAGTCCCAACCCCCACCTGTTCTGTGTCCTTTGTGTATGGCATGATGGCAAATGCTGACTTAACATGATATCAAATTGATTTGCTAAATACAGAAAGTTTGCTTCTTGCAGTATACCTTCACCTCTATTTTAGCTACCCATGCAAACAGAATCAAGGGGTTCGAATGTCCAAGCACACAACTCCGCACAACTCACCTTGGGAGCGTTCCTGGGCGTGTTCATCCGTCTTACGCACTATCTCCTTAGCCAGATCCTTGCTTGGGCCATCTTGATCGTAGAGTGCTCTGACGAGAACACAAATACCTCTGTTGGATTGGGCTCCGAGGCTCTTGACTAGCTCAGTGACACGTTCACTGCGAAGTTTCTGACCCGAGATGCTCTCATACTCTTCCTTCGAGAATAGCCCGTGTTGGTGCATTGTTGCTAGCACTGCTAGGGGTTCAATCTTTTGACTCAACTTGACAAGAAAGTACGGCTTCACAACCTGCATGCAGGGAAACAGTGGAAACGAAAATGGACCATGGAAACGTGCGGCAAACTCCAATAAAGAGGAAACAGATTTAGAAACAGAATTCCATCGTCGGTATGTGCCATCCGCAAATTCCCCTGGTAAACCTGATTGTCTCTATCTTTTCAAAGTTCTGAACGTAGGACATGTGTGAAAATGCACTAAGAAGGAGGACAGAAAATACAATACATTTTATTCACAGGTTTGAGGGAAAGACACAAACGGGAAAAGACTGAAGAAAAATTTGACTGTCACTACCAGGACTCGAACCGGGGACCCTCGCTTGTAGCCAGCGATGCTCCAACTACTGAGCTATGGATTTTCTTCATCTTTATACGGTGATCAAACAGTAGCGCATGACAACGTGTCCCTATATGCGAGATGGACATGTCGGCCATTGGGATTAGTCTACAAGGAGCCTTTCTGCATTACAGTACAGTGTAGATTTCTACTTACATCGCGCCACAGATCAACACTGTCGGGCACGTGGTCTTCCTCTTCTCCACCACTGTCGGTCTCTAGATCACTATCCCCATCTTTGTCACTGCTTGACAATTGCTCTTCGGTCTCCATGTTGGCCACAGCAGCAGGCATATCTGGCATATGTGATTCAGCCTGACATCGGGTCGTAGGTTCATCACTGTGCATGCATCGATTGGCAATATGGAATAGGCAACAAAACCAATCTTACATTAATCAACTCTTCCGTACAAGTATGGACTCGGATGGAGAGACTAGGATTAATTTATAATTTATTAATTTATTTGTAGTTCTTTGGTCCTTTTTCTTGTCAGTATAAGTGATCAGAATAATAAACCGTATTCTTCCAAGAACCTTCTATTCTTCTCTCTTTTCAAAGTGAGACTGCAGAGGTTGCTTAGAAACGAGGCAACACAGTTCGCTCAATGGCCACCTACCCTGAAAGGTTAGCAGTTCCATTCTCAGTATCTTGACTGATGCCGACTGCAACTCGATCACTGTGAGTAGATTCAGCCACTGGAATTAGGTACATACACGACATAACATAGCAATAGTGAGATGTGGCTTCCTATGGCCGTAACCGAGAGTACATAACCCCCAAGAGTGTGCAACTACAGCTATCGGGCCTGTGGTGGCAGAACTTCACATCACGTGACGAACCCGCACACATTAGTTGCATCCTGTGCATGATAGCTTACAGGGGTTGTACTCAACCCTGCTTTGGGTTCAACTCTCTTGTGGTCACTTTGCACTGTTTGCCAGCGCGACTTATTGAACCATGTCACGTGATGTGAAGTTCTGCCACCGCGGCACTGAGTACAGGTTGTGCAGTCAGTTCCACACTCTTGGGGGGTAATGTACTCTGGCTGCAACTTCCGAACTTTCCTTGACTCTGCACGAGCTGTGTTAGTTACCTCCTCCCGTACGTTGCACAACCTTTTCCAATCTGGCCTGCATGCGACCTCGTACTCATTTTTTGTCTCCTTTCGTCACCTTTCGTTCCGTTGGCCTGGGTAGCTACTTGCGCACCAATATTTTCCACAGCTAGCCCTGGCCCTTTATCTTGCCGCCCTCACTTGGTCTCTCTCTCTCTCTCTCTCTCTTGTCTCGCTCTTTCATAATGTAGTCATTTCGTTTGTCTTTTTCTGAGTCTCTTCGTCTTCCCTAATTAATGTCGTTCGACCCAACTCCCTCTTCCCGTTGTCCGTTGTGCCCTGGAGGGTATGACTCGTCCTATTCGTACCCAACAGCCGGATAATGTCTCCATGAATCTTCTATAGATTTCCTTCAATGCTATTTTCACTTTGCCCCATTCTTGAGAGTATCAGAACTACACTATGATAAAAACACACTGCTACAAATGCTTCACTGGTACTGAACTCGCCTGGTATAAATTACCCATAATACAAGTATATTATAATATTTTATTGTACTTGCACTTTGATGCAGGTACACTGGAATAATTTTTGATGGCAAATTTAGGATTGAATATGAAGTATCGCGCTTTTTCACATGAGAGCCGATTTCTTCTATGTTCACAATGCTGATTAAATCAATAATAAAATAATTCAAATAGGGACACTGCGCTTACATTGTTGGTCATCTTCGTGCCTATGGACACTGCCCAGGCTGCTGACCGGGTCACTCTCCGCACTACAATCATGTGACAGAACACATCCACTCTCGGTGCTGGCTAGCAGGCTGTTGCCTTGCGCTGTGTGACTGTCGCTGCCATCTACATCTGCACTGGCGGCGTTGGCCGTTGATGGAAAAGTGTCATCCACGGGTGCATTGCTTTCTTGCCGAGAGAGGCCTATATCATCGGTAAGTCTGTCTCGAAGGCTGTCCACAGTCTGACGAGGCAATACAAGGGAGACAGCTGATCAGACTTCATAATCGTTGTCTGATGATTGGTTCAGCCATGAAACTCTGAGTCACAACGGAATTAATTTGCCAAGGTTTTTCATTGTGTGCCTTTGTGCAGACTTCATAATAATATTAAAAAATATAAACAGGTTATGTTTCCCGCCTTAACCAATCACATGGTGGAGGGGGTCATGCATCCGTCAATGATCGTCAAACAGAGTTGCTTGTGGGCGGCGAGATTGAGACATTCCTGAATCGGCACATTCATCCAGACTTCATAGGTACACCATTAGCAAGCCTTGAATTGAACATGCCTGCGATACGGCCACTTAGATTTGGCCCTAGAACCAATCAATCACAATCTTTTACTAAGCTCCCAGTTGCAAAGTTGCCATACTGCTCAAATTTTGCGAACCTGTGAAGAATGGCATATTATTTTTTAGTTTAAATAACCAATGGTCGGGTGGACACAAGATACATAAGTGTCTGCCACAGACCGTGTTCATCGCAATTGTGTTTACCTTCTCTGCATCATGGTCTTCACCCAGCTTGCTTGCCATGATGGCAAGACGACACCGCTTGCCAGTCTCCAGTGAATTAAACAATGGCAGTCATCTTTTGTGATCACATCTGTGCAGAACCGTGACACAGCAATGTACAATACATCGAGGATTGTTGTTGAAATGGAACATTATTGTTGAAGAAGTTGGCAGCTTCAAGCCAACAAAAGGCTAAGGCATCCAGCCCAATTGACTAATATGTAGACCTGACTCAGGACTGAGGACAGGCATCCTGTGAAAACGAGGAGTACGCAGAATGTACAAATCCGCAAAACAGAAAGAAAAGGCTCGCTCCCTACTTAGCAACAATGTTTCAACCCTCCAGTTGAAATCTCGAGCAGGAAAATGAAATATTTCTCCAGCGGTCGAAATTTAACTACAAAATGGCAATAAATATCCAGTGCACCTCACACCTCACTGATGAATCTCCGTGTGGTGGTGGTGGTGTGAATCAATATCACCCATGATGAGAAGCACATATTCAGAGCCATCATCCACTCCAAATCCTATTCCCTTAAACCACTAGTCACATGCTCCTGTGAGACATATCAATACAAAGTGTCAACTCTACATTGGAAGCAGTCGACTTCTCCAACATACTATTGCCGCCAAAGTCACTAATCCTGACATGTTCAGAATATGTCAGTACAAACGTGTACATAGCTCCCCCACATTCCTGCGTACGTGGGAGTAAGTTGCGCCAATGTTAGCCAGTGCAGGCTGTCGTAATAAAACGACTCATCCGTGTTCCATTCCCGTGCATGGTACATGCATGGTGCGACGGCACAATGACAGCTGACGCAAATCACACTGAGTATTACACGTGTTTGTTGGTGATTCCTGGTTAGCTGCTAGCTTTTCCCTACTCGAAGATGTTGCCGCCGCGAAGTCTGGGGTTTTGTGTTCGTCCTGGCGAAAACCGCGTTGATCCGTTGAGGTAGACGAGAGATACAGTGCAAAGACGTACGATCTGTCCGAGAAGCGGCGAAGAGGAAAGCTTCGCAGACAACCCGTCGTGGAAGGGAACAGAATGGAACATATACCAGTCGATGCCTGTCATGGTAGGGATGACTGCTACGAAGTTGTAGCCCCATGCTCCCCAGTGCTTTTTAGCGCCCGACAATAATTACCAAATTTCATCGATTTTCCATATGGATCAAAGCATACTGTATAGCAGGAAATTTTCGGACGGAAATATTTTATTATTTTCGGACAAAACCGAATTTCGCCCTTTCGTACGGATTATATTTCCGTACAGTACTGAATGCTAAATGCATGTGCTCGCATGCGGTACGCATGTATAGTGCACATAACTTCACCGGAACAAATTTTAGTACGGAATTAATTTTAGTACAAAAGAGGCCGTGTACGAAATCAGACGAAAATAAATTCCGTCCGAAAATTTCCTGCTATACAATAGTCTCCTGAATCTTCTCCAGTCGAGCTGAGCCTGGACGCTACAATGTCGAGACGCGAAAAGAGAACATGCAGGAACACACAGGAGCATCACATGCAGCTGCATTCTGCCTCAACGAAGAGAACAACACCAGCACCACGCATTTGGAAGACATTTCGAAGAAGACGAGGAACTACTGGCATATCTGCGTTCGAAAAAGCCTCTGTACTGTGCAGTATGCATGCGTGCATGCGCGAAGCACGGGGTCTGCGGATCAACTTCGTTCAAAATCTTTGTGCCACACGGGTTGTATCATTTGTGTGCGATCATGGCCTTTCTTCTTGACAAACAAAACTGAAGTTTTTCGATCTCAAATCGCCATAGCGTCCTTGTCATGACTCCAAAGCAGCTGAAACTTTGCAGGAGGCATGGAAATGCCATGCTGAATCGATTGGCACCATTTTCGAAGGGTTTCCTTGAAAAATAAAATTTAGTCTGCACTGGCTACCAATGTGTAGCATGTCTACCATCTGGGGAACATGATACTTAGTGCACTATGATGCACTGTAACAATCAAGCATGCAGAATTTCTGCCGTTAAACGCAGCCCAGTCCTGTGAAATTAATAATTATAACCTGTTCAATTTGCCACATTTTACCTTGGTGTGCCCATAGACCGTACATTGCACAGTAGCTGTATTATTGACGTTAAAATATCTGGTCTTCCAGTACACTCTACAACTATCTCTCCCTAGCACATGCAATTACATTTACATTATACATTTTCTATTTTAGTTCCTCTCGCGATGGTGGTGGAGTTCTGAAACATGTGGAAAACTCCATCTAACCACGCCTCAAGTGAACAGTGAATGTGTTCCTCTCATTCAGATGTTTTGTTAGTGCACTTTTACCGCAGAAGATATCAAATCGACCACATTGATGATGTCGTCTTTGGCAATAAAGACATCATTGAGACAAAAAGATATTTAAAGGACATTCAATCTGTCCCTGCGGGAATTTCCGGCAAAATTCTCGAAAGCTTGCGCAAGAAATTGCGGCAGAAAACAACAAAAATGCGGCAAAAAGTGCGGAACTTGCCAAGAATTTGCGGAATTTTGCAGATTTGGACCAAATCACGAAATTTGTTGCGAATGTACAAGTCGTACTGTGCAAATAACCTACATGTACGAAATCATGGATTTATGGAAAGCACTGCGTAGAAAGTGCAGAAAACAACACAAAACACGGGAAATCGCGGATATTTCAGAAAATCGCGGGTTTGGGTCAAAATCGCGAAATTTGTTGCATCCGTGGAATCGCGATCTCCTGGAGGGACAGTGCAGTAAAGCCTGCCCTAACTGGACTCTCTTGGTGCAGCGGAAGCTGTCCTGATATGAAAGGAGTCCGTTTGATCCAGGGATGCACATTCGATCCACGTAACTTTGGTGCATGACAATTTGCCCGGTCAATACAGGATTCCACTTGGTACAGGGTCCAGCAAACACAGGTCTTACTGTACTGTTTGATAATAACCCATTGCCTTAAGGGTTACAGTGTGTGGCTCTCTCTCTCTCTCGAGCATTGGTCATCCTAGTTCCAAGGCCCACAGGTAGACGTCGGCGGATAATGCTCGAAAATCACACAGATTATGCTTTTCAGTATGCTGGCAATATGCTCTGAAAATCACTAAATTATGCTCAAATTATGCTTCATGACACTGTGCTCTTTCATGTTTATAATGATACTAACATGTATAGAATGTGTACTCGGTATCAAATGTGGACTTCCGGAGAAAACTGCATGGAAGAAGATCTAGTACAGGGGCGTCACAGGGTGGGTGGGAGTGGTACGACCGGGGGTGCGGGGGTGTCCCCCGGAGAAAAAAGTAAGGATTTTCGGCTAACAGGCCACGTTTTAGCACTCTACAGCCACAAAGGAGGGTTCCCCTAGCACTTATTAGACAACCCCACTCCAGCTCCAAAAACATACTTCTCATGGATTTTTGGTATTTTCTGTACATCGTAGGTAGCCAAGCAAGGCAAATGGAACCCATTCAATGATTCAGGGCCATTGCCGTCGAAAAAATCGCAAAATCCGAAGTACAAGCGTGCTGCGCGTTCTAGCGCCAGCCGCTATGCAAAAACGTATGTTGTACGTTGTGTCCTGCAAAAGTCTGCCGTGTCGCGTACACTATGTACACGTCAGGTCTGGACAGTCGCGAAGTAATTATTTTAGTTGTTTTTAGAGAGAAAAGAAGATCCTTTTTTTTTGGTTCGGTGGGATTGAAAGATCTGCCAGTGGACCGGAGAGCTACAATAATGGAAGCAGAAGAAAGCGCTTGCGGAATCTTCTCTGTCTTCGTGGAAACAGGACTTTAGTTTGCGAGAGACTTTCGTCCTGTCGTCGCGGACGAAATTCTTGTTGCTGCTACCAGAAAACTCGGGGAACGAAACGATCGTAAGTCGTTATAATATAGGTGAAGCGGGTCGTGTCGGTGAACAGCTGCAGAATATTCTGCCGCCGTGGAGCAGCAGTCCAAACACTTTTCCGCTTCGGAGAATGAAGCGCTTCCCTTTTCCGTTGACAAGCGCTGCGTTCGCGGGTGTAATGCATTTTCGAATCCGCTTGCAGTAGATCGTCAGGAGCCAGAGGTACTAGGTAGGTGTCGTTGTGGAAAGAATATAATTATTATGTTGTAGCTGACAAGTGACATACATGCAGTGTCTCTTGACGTGCTGATCGCCATTGTAACATGGTAGATCTTGGAAAATTTTAGTTCTGGACCCAGTGATCGCCGCCAGCTCAGCTCTGTTTCCGTCAAGTTTGCAGTGAATGCGTCCGTGAGGAATCCATCGTTTGGTTGTCTCTAACCGTGACTCCAACCGCCTATCGTAATGGATAGCCGCCTGGAGTCTTGGGCAATAGCTAGCTGCTAGTGCTAGGCATCAAGTCTGTATGCTCCTTGCAATGAAAGTAACAGTTGCGATGTTTTGTACAAGTCCGAAGATCCTTGAATTTTTTATTACTTTTTCGGATGAATTGGGTGGACCATCCTGGACGAAAAGTGGTACGAGCATGGTCGTAGTGGTCGTACCGTGTGTGACGCCCCTGTAGTATAGCTATGATTAGCAGGCCCGTAGCAGCCCCATTTGGGTTGGTCCGGCAAGATACGACTTCGATGCTTCCCCCCCCCCCGAGCCCATACTCATACATGTACATGTACATAGTACATACACGTACAATCATCATGATCATGTACAAAATGTACATGATTGTACGTGTATGTACTATGTACATGTACATGCATGTAATCGTGACCATGCAGAGTGACAAAGGACGAGAAAAGGAAGAAGGACGTTCGGCATGAGTCAGGAAAAAGGGCATCAGCATGTTGTATCCGTCCAAACAGAACTTGTTGAAGATTATGAAGGCAGAGCTACCGTATCTAAATGCATGTGATAAAAGAATCAAAATGGACCTTTGGAGGAGGAGAAAGGATATTGCAATGGAATATCTTTGGTACAAACCCTATCTAGAAAGAATTGGAGGAAGAAAGAATCAATACATTTCAGGAAGTACAGTGTAGAAACATTCACGGGCATGACTGTCCTCATGACCTTCAGCAGGGTCATACTCCTGATGACATGTAGGTCTACTACCGGCACTACTATTTCTACTCTAGCTACTACCTCTATACAACTTATTGCACACATCCCCTTCAATGGTACAGGGTGGACATCCTGAGCTGTACTGCATGCTCACATCTGTGAGCTCCTTTTTTTTTTCTTTTTTTTTTTTTTGGCCGAATATTGGTCCGGCAGCTGCCGGACCTGCCGGACCGCCTGCTACGGCCCTGAATAGGATGAAGGCCGCACACGTCGCGCAACTACGTTACTTGTTCGACATGTATGACTGTGTATTTTAATTTAAGAAGATCTAGTCTCAGCTATGGAGAAGGAACCAGGATACGGCAATAGGCACTGCAACATCATTACAAGCATAATCATGTACAGAAATAATAGAATGCTGAGTGTTCATTGTAAGCGTATCACACAAGTACTGCTGATGTACATAGAGTTGTTTACCTCTCTTTCTTTCTTATCTTTTCTTTTCCTTCTCTCTCTTTGTTTGCCACGGCGACCCCGTGTGCTGTCTGTGACTTTGAGCCTCATTTCACTTTGCTACTTTTTTTCTCTTTAACGTTACGTAATACTTTATACCAGGCGTGGGTCATCCACTGTACATACATGGTAACATGTAGGTGCTACCATTTTTCCTAGTTTCAATAAATAATAATAGAATAGAATCAGAGTCATTGCAGTGACTTATGCATGACACTGCATTGACAACATGACTTCAGATATGCATTTGGGAGAATAATGTGCAAGAAATTTGAAAACAATAACAGAAATACCAGCCGAACAGTGGCAGCTTTGGCTGCTGGAGAGACCACATCCTACAAAGGCTACATGCATGTACTGATCACTAATTCAAAAGCCAGAGGATTCCCCTGCCTTTGTAACAAACAACGAACTCTGGACGGTGAACGTTTGACCTTTGACGGCCTAAACATTACTTATCTGTTACATTTGCAGTCACTGAGTGTAGATCAGGCCCTTTCACGGAGCCGTGCCAGATATATACCGTGGTATGGTACGACTCCCTGCCGAGTCCCGGGTGTAGATCTATTTACATTGTATGAGGATTCCCTTGCCTTTGTAACAAACAACTGACTCTGGACGGTGAACTTTTGACCTTTGAGGCCCTAGGGGTTTCATGCAGCAGTTATGATGAAGGATCAACTAAATTATGCTCGGCAATGCTATTTTTCAGAAAGCCGTGATTATGCTCAAAATTATGCCGGCGCTATCCGCCGATGACTACCCACAGGATGTGGAACATATTCTTGGCACACATATGCACTGCATTAGTGAAAGTTAGTGACCATCATCATCGGGAATCGAACCCGCAACCTCCCAAGTGAAAATCACTGTACATACCACTGCACCATATGGGACACACACGTGGGTTCAAACAGGGACATGGACAAGGGTTCGCTATATCACGAAATTCGCTACATGCAAGTTCGTTATAAGTGGAGGCGACTGCAATCTGGACTGCAACCACCCACCCACCTGCTGACCAAGCAACAGGGTGCACTGCCCACTAGTAGACCTACTGACACTAGGCCGCGTAGATCTACAACCAGTACTGGCAGTAGGTGTTGATAGTAGTACAGTCAGATCTTGCTTATCCGCTCCTCTTTTATCCGGATCCCTCGCCATCCGGTAGATAATAGCTGGTTACATATTTACAGCACACGGGATGCATCTAACATAAACAGTGTTCAGTTAACCGGTTCCCTCGCCTATCCGGATATGTTTTGTGGAAAACGGACGTGTGCGGTTAAACGAGGTCTGACTGTAGTGTTACTGCGAAGTACATGCTGTGCTCACATCGGTCGCTTCCACTGACTTGTGTCGACTGGGCCGTGCTTCTTGCTTGCTTCTTACATTTGTCGGAAGTAACTATTACTTAGTTATGGTTGCACAAACGGAAGGTGACTGAGTCTGTGAAAACCTACATCACTTGCTTCCTCTCAGTCTCAGCGTCGCTGCGTGCGTTCCGTACTGCCTCAACTGCTAGTACATGTAACATGTATGACAAACATAATTGATTGTAGCACAAACGCCAGCTACATACTTCAGCACGACCCTGGGTCCCTGGCCTGGAGGTACTCACTTCGGTGATCCACGAAGGGCAAGGCACTACAAAAGCCTGGATCCACCCTGCACACGATTCCAGCGCACGTGTAGACTTCAGAGTTCAGACTGACTGTATACGCACACGGCACTTCAGAGTTCAGTCTTCGCTGCAGAGCTAGGATGTAGCTGCTAAACAAAAATAATAGAGATAGGAAGAACAAGTCCCGGAAGAAAATCTTGGCAAAGAACAACCTTGACGAAATGCAAGTTACTTTCCGCCTCACCGGATTCACACAGCCTCTGGCGCAACTGCAATAGAGTACGTGGACCTTCTTACCTTGGGAGTTGGGTTCAGCTGCGTTCCCTTTTATCGTGTTCGGACACGGAGGCACTGCGTTGAGGAGTCATCAGCGAACCTTGGCTTTGAGTCAGAGCTACGTTTCTTGGGCGCTTCTTTATACTAGTGCTAGTAGTGGGCGTGTAATCCGTTAGCTGTAGTAGTGCTGGCGTAGGCTGTTCACGCTCTAGCTCTCCTGAAGTTTTAGTTTGTCGAGTGCAAACCGTTTGCTAAACGGCTTGCTTTGCACTTTTTCCTACACAGGGGAATTTTCCCTGCCATTCCCTCATGAATACTTCATCAGCTGGCTGCTGAGGACTACTGTACTGTGGAATAATACAATCATGTACAAATGTAGTCTGCACAGGTCGCGTAAGGTGCACAGTCGTGTCAGTCTTGCATGTTCGCTGCAGCGTACTTTGACCTTTGCGACTGGGCCAGGGTAGGATCTCCTTCAGTCCTTGTCTTGGCGGCACTCATAATCATGAGATGTGCATGACTTGTACTCTAATAGTTACGGTAGTTTGGAGTCCAGTGAAGACTGAAGTGAAGAGTGAAGTGCGCGAAGACATGAAGTGAGGGTACTTCTGGCGGGGACTTCCCCTGAGTGGTACTAGTTCATGTAAAATACTACTTAGTGGCTGAAATGGAGTCTGCGAGAGCTTAGAAAAAACTTAGTACATGTATTATTGTTACTTATAAGTGGTATCCATGAGGCATGACGCGACGTGACATGATGGACTGGAGATAGGATCTATAGGAGTACTGAAACGCAACCTGATCTGAGCAAGACTGTGTCTAGTCTCCGACTCACTCAGCTCCTCTTCACACACCCAACGCGAAACACACGACTCGACTGTGCTACGATTATAATATTATTATTATAATAATTATGTATGTACATGCAGCTGTACAGTACTAGCACATGGTATTATAACCCAATCACGTGCCTAGTTCAAAACTAGTAATAATAGTAGTATTAGATAAACCTTGTTATAGTTCACGCATTATTGTTAGATTGACCGCATGAATTGAAACAAGGTGGAGCATAATGAGGGTCAGAACCGGGTTCAACACACACATGGTTCAAATGGTACGCAGGGACCGGGGCTCTGCCAACCGCGGAAGGTTGTAGTAAGGTCACTGACACTGTTTCCGAACACAATGTCCTCCACCTTGTTTCAATCTAACAGTACCGTATTTCCCCGTAAGTTAGTTCTCCCCAATGACTAGTACCCCCTATAAAAAATACACTCTCCACTGCCGAGTTTATCACCCCAAAAGACAGTTCCCCCGAAAGATAGTAAGTTCGTACCCGTCCTACATGTACAGACACCGTACAGTACATACATCATACGTACATCGTACACATCGTATGTACGGACACTAGAGTTGCGAAGGCTTCCCACTGCGTGTCATTTACCCCACAGCCCCCCCCCCCCCCCCCCCATAGAAAAGTACTCTCCGAAAGATAGTAGAGTCTACCACCCCCGAAAGTTCGTACTCATGTGGCTGCTAAGTTCGAAAGTACTTACTAACAGTTTTAATACAATGTATACGGGGAAATAGGGTACTACTACTTCTAGCACATGTATGAGAGGGTTTTCCCCTGCTCGACACGCTACATCCCCATGACGTATGCTTGAGTCATGACTACAGTCAGTAAAGACATGGGTCACATGGCATGGCAATGATGGCATGGCATGATCTGATGCATCGAGGGCACTGCCGCGCACGCGCGCTAGGCGCTAGGCCGCTACGCCTACGGCGCTAGTGCCAGTACGGCAGTAGTGGCAGTACTAGTATAGTAGTGCAGTAACCATGGTAACTGAGTAAGCGCTGTAAGCGCGCTTAGCGCAGTAAGCACACACTCGCAGTTCGGCACTCGACGCGTCCGTCCTATGGCCACTAGTACTACTACTACTAGTACTACTACTAGTAGTACCAAGAGTACATAAACTTTTTTTTTTTTTTTTTTTTCATGTCATGAAAATAAATCCGAGAAGAAAGAAAAGGCCCAACCCTGCCCTGCCAGTTATTTGGACTTACGGGGGTCGCCATGGCAAATAATAAACATAAAACTGCACACGTTCGGGCTCTCCGCCTTCTCCGTGAAATTATAATACCGTAAAAGAAAACTAGAGGGGAAAAAAGAAGCAACAATGGGGAATAGGAACTGATTTAGGAACCACTTGCAGTCAGTTACACAGGGCAGCGGGCCTCGGCAACGGCCAAGGTAGCAGATGCATCCGCCACATCGCTGACGCGCATGGGGCGTCGCCGAGCACCACGCAAACAAACCATGCTGGAGCGAACCAGAGCAAAGCCAAGTCGGCAGCGAATCCACGCCATTACACGGTTGTACGGCTCCTTCGTCTTGTCGGACAGGAGCCCGGCAATCCGCTTATAGCAGGCTGTTGCCGACTTGCCCATGCCGCCTGTTGAGGAGAGAACGAGAGGTGAAAAAGTTGCATGTTCGATCTCTCGAACACGCTCCTCATAGCAGCGGCGTTTCTCCCGTTCGTGGCGCTGGTAGCAGGAGGGTACTGAGGTGGAGCGATTTGAAGCCGCGAAAGGGTTAAAAACCCGTACGTCGAAGAAAGTGCGGTCAAAACGCCCACCCCAGACACCACTCGCTGCTATATCCAGCCTAGCCTGGGGGTCCGTTATGGCAGAGCGGTAGCGGAATGCTTCCCCAGTTACCGGCTGCAGGTGTGGTTCAGTGGTGACGTTGTTGGCGACCCGTTTGAGGAGACCAGCCGTAACATCTCGTACCTCGTTGTGCCTCAGTGAGGGAAACCCACCCAGAGAGCACGACAAGGCGTGGGCGACGGTGAACGATGCACCACACGGGCAGATCGATGGAAGGTGGGCTGGCGGCCAGCCATAGCGGAGCGCAAGGCCATCCCGGAACTCACCCTTCGAGAGGGCAAAGCCATGGGCCTTCAGGGGTCTACAGGTCAGCCAAGCCGACGCACCCTTCTCCGCCGCCAGACCGACACAGAGCTGGATATCAGTGTTCTGCGTCAGGATGAACTCTTTGGCTGCTTGGGCCGTTGAAGTGCGGGTACGACTTGCCACCTCCCTCTTAGTGGACCGTACCAGGTCCAGCACATGGCCAATCTGGGTGTCCTGGTCCAGAATCTTGCGGACGAGCGCCGAGGTTATCGCTGCCGATGCCCGGAACTGGTCGCCCAAGGTGGTGGGGTCGACTAAGCCGAGGCCTCCTTCACGGCATGGGAAAGCAAGGACCCTTCGCTCACGTGAGTTTACTGGCTTACCGCACAGGGCAGGAATAAGGACATTGGTGATGGTGTCTTCCAGAGGGCCAAGATTTTCAGCAGCACACTCCATGACTCTGCACAGGAAGGACCAGCGATGCTTCAGGCCTTGTGTGAATGCTGCATAGGCAGCCTGTGGCTGGGTTTCGGCAATCTTGGCCAAGGACACGATCTCGTCTTTCCACCCGTTTGCCTTCTGGGAAACATAGCTCTGGACGAACTCCGTCGATCCGAGTGCAGCACCTAGAAACCGGTGGCCGTCGGTGGTAATGTGCACACCGGTCCCTGCAAAGGCGTCCTCAGCTTCCGTCAGGTGACCGGCCTTGACAACCAGGACTGATTTCTCAGCATTTGCTGCGTACCCATATGCCGGTCCTTTCTGTCGCAGAATATCCCACCAAGCGCGTAGTCGTTGGACTCTGCCGCCCGCGGAGGAGTCGTCTGCAAACCACATCTGGATCGTTCCCTCAGCCGAGAGAGCACGAATGAGGGGTAGAATGCCCAGCGCATACATCAGCATCGCGATGGGATCGCCTTGGGTGGTGCCCTCTGCCGACATGATGACGCTGCCCCCAACAAACAGCTTTGCGGGTTGTCGGTAGCTGTTAATAACGACTGTCGCCAGGGATGGGCATAGGTGACGCATGTTGCGCAGGCATGCTTCCCTGTTCAGCGTGTTAAACGCATTCGTGGCATCTGCCATTAAGACCGCTTCGGTATCCTCCTGGTCGAACGCCTGCTGCATGGCATGTATCGCCGCCTCGATCCCGCAGTCCTGGCCTGCACAGAGTTGAAGGGTGCCAGCTGCCTCTTGAATATCCTCACCAATTACGTACAGGATGGCCTTGCCCACCACTCTCCGCATCACCTCGCCAATCCCAACGGGTCTAACCCCCGGGTTCTTGTTGAGGGGGATGAGTCGGGATGCCAGGTACGCTTCCAGCGATCGGGGGTCGACAAATTCATAAACCAGAGTGTGCAACTCGGGATGGTTCCTGTGGGAGCGTAATTCGTGCACTACGTCATTTCTGACGGCATGGTAAGCCACAGGTACGGTGAAAAGTTGCGTAACCAGTCGCGGTGGTGCAGGTCACTGAGTTTGTCCTGATTTCGGTTTTTTGAGACGGATAGCCTGGTGACTTTACTTGTCGGTGGATGTATGCAGCGTACACAGTCACACAAAACACCGAAATCCTGGAACAGGACGTCTAAAATCAAGCAAACTAACTTGGCTGATTTCCGGGCTATGAAACATGAAAATTTGAGCTGTACGCAAGTCGCGGCTTGGCTGACCTCATCAGGGTGACGTAGTGCACGAACTGCGCTGTTTCAGATCTGATATGCACAGTTGCACACTCTGGTTTATGTACTCTTGGTAGTACAAGTACATGTTTTTTGTCTAGTGTAGATCTACTACTAAGTACTAGTAGATCTACTAGCCCTGGCTCTAATACTTGTACTAGTAATAGTGCCATAACCAGGGAGTCGCCCCCGACTCCCTGCCATTACCATGATTACTTACTAGTGGCTAGGCTAAAAAAGTAAAAGTAGGCCTAGATCTACAACCTGCATGCATGCGCGCGCGCAGTCTAATAATATTAATATTCGCGGGATCCGCGTTATTAGCATCACTTGAATGTTCAGAAACACACAAGCTATAGCCTTCGCTTCCGCAGGCCACCACTATGCCTTTACACCTTAGTGGCGAATGCAGACCTCACGACACAAGTGAGTCAGGGGAGAGGAGGTGAGTCTCTGCAAGGTAAAAAATGAAAAATTCAATTATTATTATTTTCAAATCGAGGCGCGTTACTAGTAGTAGTACTGCACAGACAGTCAGTGCAAGTAAGTAATACTACTAATAGTATTACTTACTATTACTTATTAGTATTACTTAGTATTACTAATACTGTAGTGACTAGTGTAATACTAGTTACAGGGGTAAGTAGCCCATGTAGTCATGTAGAGAGATACACTTGACTGACGTGACGTGAAGGAGATCTGAGATCTCAGTACAGTACTAATACTAGTAGCTGGTTGTTTCGGGAGCGCTCTGGATCATAGGATAGGAGCGTTGAGCTTCATTCGTGGAAATTTTCTTCCGCTTACTGTGATGTTAGGCGTCATTTAGGGTGAGTGCATCGGAGTACAAGAGATGAAAGGAAAGTCTGCACTTTCGAGATTTCAGCAATGGATATCACGCCACAAAGTCCGAAAGGTTAGCCCAATGAGTGGATAGTCCTTTGGCTGTTTGAAGATTTGTTTTTCATGTCGATTTAAATCACCGCTGTCATTTTGCACGCAGCAGAATCTTACGCGCTTGCACCGCGGTGCCGGTGATGAGCTGTTTATCAATGACTATGTCTGAGGGGAGACAGTAGTATCTTTGCTGAGTTCATTTTAAAATTGTTTTGGGTTTTAGTTGCATTTCTATTATTGATCAAGGTGGTATTTTTGCCTGTACAAGATGCTTGAGTAAGACTTGTGAGTATCTTTGCTGCACCGCTCTTTTCGATAGACTATCGAAAAGAGCGGTGCAGCAAAGGCTATAGCAAAGCCTATAGCCGTATAGGCTAAAGGCTATATGCAATACTGACTGTGTGATACAGTCCCTTCGGGAACGGATACGATAAATTTATTTATTTATTTTTTTAATTGCATATTAGGCTTATAGCGTTGGTCTTTGATTTTGATCGTTTTATCACTATAAGGGGCCGTCCGTAAATACATGCATTTACTTAGAGACCTCTAACAGGCGTTTCTGGTGGGTGGGTTCGCCTGCAAGGCGTTTCTAAAAAATACATTTTGGAGTGCATGCATACCATGCCGTGCGTGCATGTACATGATGTAGCTCTGCTACAGCTAGTACAGGTAGGCGTTGAGACGCACTACACTGCACTGCACGCGTCACGGCAGATTAGACAGGGAGACAGGGACACATACAATGTAACTGTTCGCTATAAAGGGTCAATTTTGTATAGGTTCACACAGGGGCATGGAAAAGGGTTCGCTATAATTATCACGAAATTCGCTATAAGCGAGTTTGTTATAATTGAAGTCAACTGTACTGTATACAATAGTCGTGTACATGTACATGTGCATAGTGTGGTGTTCATTATGACTATGAGTGGTATTATCTGCATTTTGGGGGGGGGGGCGTTTCTGGGGGTGGGTGGGTCAAGAAAGAAACGCCTGTTATATGTCTCTAAGTAAATACATGTATTTAGGGACGGGCCCTGAGCGATACATTACTATGACCGATACTGCGTGTACTGTATGCACGTGGAGTATCAAAAGACTCAGCGTGCCGTACTTATGCACGCTGCATAGTTGGTTGCAGCATACGTCCTGTGTACTCATGCTTTGAGAAATGCACCCTATCATGCCTATGCAGCCAAGGCTCCTGACACACAACGTCAGCATATCCTCACAATGGAGGCATTTTGGACAACTCATACTACAAGAAGAAGTCACGAAAAAATACCTTGGGCCAAATAATGAATTGTTCAGAAAGAAGTAACTTCCTGTGCGCCTCTGACACCACTTGATTTCACATCAATTACTTTCACCGATGCAAAAATAATGTAGTAGAGGTCTTTTGAAAATTGAATTTGATCACTATAGGCGATATAATTATTACTATAGACGATTATTACTATACGCGTTAACTGTGTATACTTAGTTTTGGCAAATTAAAATGAATTTGAGAAGATAATCACTATAGCCGCCAACCTTATAGGCGATATGTACTGTATTAGTTAAATTACGCATGTTCTTTCATTGCATTTAACTTTGTACTTTACAGGTGGAGCAGCCAGATTTCGCAACAGGTAAGGGCTCTCTCACCTGATCTTTATCAGTGGTTACGATGACTTGTTTACACAGTATTTTGGCTGAATAGCTGTGGTGGTCATTGGTAACATGCTTGCAGGGTACAACTTACAGCCTGTTTGGGCGCGTTCCTGTCATTCGAGTTGAACCCGAGTTGAGCCATGGCGTGAAAGTTGTAGCCTGCAGGCACGGTGACCATGTGACTTGTGCCCGCATGAGCACGCGACCGCTTATTCAACTACAGTGCGTATCGGTTATAGCGTGGTCGTGTAAAAGAATATACTGCCTACAAGAATGAACCCTCATGTTTTCATAATCATAACATGGATTTCAAGTGCACATTTATTCTTCCAAGCAATTTTATCCCATAGTAGAATATATCGGTCCTAAGCTTGGACTTTGTGTAGCGAAACATGCCAGATTAGTACAACGTGTATCGCCTGTAGTAATAACATCTGTCCAATTCCGTTCTGATGTGACTCTCGTTGCGTCGTAGTGCTGCAGATTCAACTGTTGTGGCCATGTACCTCATTTTGCATAGCCACATGTAAGCTTATGGGACTATGACCACCCACATGGACAGAAGTACTGCGTTGCATTGAACGATGATTTTCCTGCCCCTGCGCACATGCATATGATATGCCACACTTGATTTATCGTGTGTAAGAAATATCGGAAATAAGAATAGAAAGTCGTTTTTCAAACACCCACGCTATAACCGATACCTACTGTATGTTCGATTGGGAATACGGGCCGAACCCTGCATCGCAGCTTTCTCGGACCAAAATCAGTCGTCTCAGCGTCCGAAAGACTACAACATACGGGCCAATCGCGGTTATACGTGCTTTTATGAGAACAGAATGGCGCCTTTAGTGACATTTTGCATACAAATCCCCATCTAGTATGGTGCAGTCAACCAGTTTCGGTGGAAGTACAGTAAATATCGGATATAACGTGCCCCTTTGATTTTCGAAAATTTATCACTATATCCGGTGCATCACTATAGCCGATTTGCATGTTTGACCGACACATGGCACATGACTGCACATGAAATGATGCGTACACGCTGGAAAAAGCATGCTGAAAGTGCATGCATGCTCCGCGGACTGTGTACCGGTGCATGACACAGAGCAGTGCATGGCAGTGCAGTACGAGTACAGACTGTACATGTACTAGAACTTCGATACATCATGTGGCATGGCTGCTTCTTCAGCGTGTTTCTACTCGGTGTCCAACGAGTTGCATAGAGCCAGAAATAGACATGAGTGGCTGTGTACGTGAGTTGGCAACATCATCGTGAGAGGCAACACAGCCAGAAACGGACAAGAGCATGCAGAAAGATACAGAAAAGGACAAGACCATACAAAGGGAGCGAGGGGTAGCGCAGCCAGAAAAGGACATGTGCATACAGAAACGTGTGATCATCACTCTTGATCATTATATGCGATATTTTCCTGTACATTTGATATGGTTTGCTTCCTGAAGTCCATCACAATAAGCGATATATCGGTATAGCCGATAATAGTGTATATAGTGATATTTTAGCTGTATTTTTTTCTGATTTGATTTTGATTTTGACGTGTTCTATCACTATAACCGGTATATCATTATATCCGGTCACTTTATAAACGATACTTACTGTACGCGAATTCGATTGGGTATAAAGGAGGAACGGAGCGTCGCAGCTTCCTCGGACCAAGACCATTCAGCTCTGCACTCCGAAGACTCCAACTTTTGAAAATTTGATTCTAGGCTTAACCTCCCCTTTAACTCTGCCTGAGGTTATGGGTGTGCTGATGCAGAAGAAGCACTCCGCTTGAATATCGAATGTCCTGGTTTCACATTTACACATGCATTTGCAACAATAGACGGAATTCCCAGACTGGTAGAGTGCTCAACGCCACAAGGATACAGCAATACCAGTTATACCACAAAGGTGAATCAGTTGTCAGAGCATTGCCTTAGCTTTGCTATGTGCATGAAACGCAGCGTTCCAACAGTTACAACTATAACTTGGCCGGCTGTCACGTCATTATGTTATTTCTGTGTTTTCGTCTCCGCAGTGGAGTAAGCTTGGTGAATCTGAAGGAATCGTGGCGCTTCTACGAGGAGCTGAAGAAGTATCTGTCTGAGGATGTGGAAGGTAATTTATATAGTATTGTTGTAACCAACCTTTCTCCACCTGCTCCCAGTCCCGTGTCATCTCCACACTCAGACAATTGGACGACGATAACTACATTTAGAAAGACTGTTCATTACAAGACGACGGCGGAAACACAACTAGACATGACGAACTCAAGACGAAGACTGCTTTTCACACCACAGCAACACGCGCATGCACCAACATCATGTACACACCATGTACACACCATGTACACACGATGTACACACAACGTACACAAAATAACGTACTACAAAAGTGTTAGTGACGTGGAAGTCGGAAATATAACCAATTATGTACGAGACTGAATGCTAGTAGGCCGTTGGTCAGCACTTGACAGTTGCAGACATTTTAAAGATTATCAAGCATTGAGTTTTCTCACTTTTCTGGTCTCTTCACGATCACTAATACTCTGGAGACCAGCTCTAGATCACTGAGTATCTATAGATTACTGACCAGCCATAGATCCTTAAAACATGTGTAGCTCAGTAAGGCGTGGCATATTCGAGTAGGGCATAGAGTACAGGAACCCAAGACACGGTGGATAGCATGTGGTGCAACGCATTCTCTGCTGGCCGTATGCAGTGTTCTCCCCCAGCATAGAGCATGCAATGCTACGAATCAATGTATTGCACTATTTGTTCTACTGTGCTTGGTCGTAGAGAAGCTAGCCAGGTCCATTTGCGCCGAAGTGCTCGGCACGGACACGAACTTTCAGTCAAACATCGAGGATTACATGTCCACGGCGTCCATTAAGCGCCATCACTTCCTCGAAGGCACCCTGTGTTTCTGGATGTCCAAGGTGGATGCAGCGCAAGCAACTGGCTACAGTTTGTTTGCAATGCTGGAGAGTATCGATAAACGTGTTGCTAAGAGCTGCGAGCACTTTCTAAAGGTAGGCACTTCGTAGCGGAATGCTATTTTAATACTTGTGTACTGTGATATTTTGTACTTCTGTAGTTGTAAAGCGAATGCATCAAAATTCATGGGGTTTGATATGAGCAAAAGAACATCCGTCAGCTGCAGGCTGTGTACTTGGCATATTTTTAGTGTTGATCTTTGTGCTCTGTCCTGTGCGTTGTCAATTTCCACGCTACACTGCGGCAATCTCACAGGACTCGCACAGGTGCTTGTATGATACTACCAGCACTGAAGTCTTCACAGAGCTGTGTAGTTTGAGCCGTACGGGGTTTGCAGCCAATATGCAGAGGTGAAATTTTCTATCACAATGTCACCTACATTATCGTTGTATCACTTGTGCCAGTGTGGGTGCTGAGTCTGGTGCCAGTGTTGGTGCTGAGTCTGGTGCATGTCAGTGAGAGTAATGCTTTGGTGCCAGTATTGGTGATGAGTTTTATACCAGACACTCTTTGTCTGTTTCAGTCTACAGGGATTTGGCTAGTGGTCAGTGATAGTGAGTTAGGAAAGTAGTTGTTTGATTACTACAGTTGTCATGTCTCTCTCTATGAATAGTATTCCTTTAATAGGTACTTTGTGAACAGACTCGTTCTGCCATGTCTACTTTGTAGTGAGATGTACTGACAATTGCTGATTGCATTGCTCCTCATCACAGTGTGGCTGTCCATTTCGGTCAGTATCTTAATGCTACTCTGGTGTTCCGTGTGTGCACATGCATACGCATGTACATGTGTGTGTGTATGTAATGTGTGTGTGTTTGTTTGTGTGTTTGCATGTGGATATGCGTATGTGTGTGTTCTTGTGTGTGCACGTGTGTTTTTGTGTGTGTGTGTGTGTGTGTGTGTTTGTGTGTGCAAATGTGTATGTGTTGGTTGTGTGTTGGTTGTGTGTGTGTGTTTGCGTGTGTACATGTGTATGTGTTGGTTGTGTGTCTGTGTGTGTGTGCGTGTGTGTGTGCGTGTGTGTACACGTGCGCACCCAACGGTGATGAACGTCTGGGCACTTATGCAGCTTGAAAGAGGTAAGCGATCAAATGTCCTGTGTTGGATCAATATAGATGAACGCACTCACAACTCCACTAAGTCTCCTGGCAAGAGTCCCTTGCTCTGACCTTGTACAACTCCGATAGTGCCACATAATTTTTGCAATGTTTGGGCTTGAATCCATTTTGTATAACTATTATGATGGAGGATTTTTCTGGGATAGTTTTGCTTGTGGCACAATAAGTGGTAGTATCAGCACTAAATGTTGAGCCAGATCAAAACTCTGTTCTTCTTTCTCTGTGGATTGAAACTGTGTTTTCAAGTTTACACGGCCACCTTGATCAAGTCCGAACTAGATTCAAATAGACTCGGATGGAGAGCCAAGGGTTAATTTATAAGAAAGAACATGCCAGTTAGTTGTAGAACGTCAGTACCGTCGGTCAGTGTCGTGCAATGTTACCGCATGAGCTGATTGTTTAGTAACTGGTGGTGTTAGTGGACATTATAGCGTAGCTTGTAGTTCCTTGGTCCTTTTTCATTCTTATAGATTCAAATAAATCAGTGTACAGCTTGTGTGAGAGTCAGTCAGGTTGACTATCCTTGTAAATAAGCATATTCTTGTGTAATGTTTTCCCCTTTTTGTTCATTTTCTGATTCTGACTCCTGCTGCACATACAACCGGGTGCCTGGTATCAGTGAGTGACCCTGCGACAGTGAGGTAAGTTACTCTCCTATGTCTTGAGAGGGTTTGCTGAGTTAACCATTCTGATTTTAGTCTTAGAAATGTGTTTGCTGTTAGAATCTGCTTGGTTGGTGTTCACTGGGGTAAAAAATTATACCGGTATGCATTTAAAAAATGTGACGTGTTCGCATACAGGGCTGGTCGAGAACCGCCTTTCCGCTTCCGTGGGACAACACCACCCCATGATCAAGCGTCAGATGCCACTCCTAAATAATGGAGAGGATAGATTGTTGTGATCTCGAACTCGTCAGTCACTGAACTGATTTTATTGTAAAGAAGACACGAACTTATAGAGTGTGAAGAAGAGTATAGCGAGATAGAGAGCGGTAGAAGGAGAGCCACTGGACAGCTGGATAGTGTATCAATAAGCGCACGAGGGGAAGGCTAGACAGTATGTCTCTAGACATCAATAGGTATTGTACGAAAGGCCAGTCAATAGCACTAAGGAGTGAAGTCAACCACAACACAGACAATAGCTTCGAAGAGACAATCATGACAGGCATGATACGGATGATATAACATCTCCCCTTTCAAGCAAAGAGTGAAAACAGAGGGCAAAGAGGCCAAATAGAACTGGAGCATTTGAGCCAGCAGAGAAAGAGCGCAACCATGCGTTATGTGGAAGGAGTGTGAGCACAAAGAGCAAGACGCAGAGATCACAGTGCGACTCTACGAGTACACAATTATAAGTCATGTAGAAAGTACATGGAGTTGTATGTATGTCAGCATCGCACTCACGGACAGCATGACTGTTTGGTGCTGTGGTGGAACTTACAGTAACACCACCCACGGATTTCTGACTTGTGTCACGGTGGCGCTGCGAGTCTTTGTCTGTAGCTGAGCAATCACGCCAAGGGTGAGCTGCACCACCACAGACTCGATGGATCGTTACTACACTGAGGCAACGGTGTCGGAGGTCGAGCAGTACGACGTGTTGTCTGAGGTTTCCGCCGCGTTTGCGAGGGGCGGTGAACCCGGGAGAGACTTTCGGAGCGCCATCTCTGTCCTCTCCGTTCGCAGGTAAGTTTCGGCCTGCTCGACAGTTGTGGTAGCAGTCTGAGGCGCTTGACGGAGGAGGAAGACTTGGGCATCGGCCGGGAGGGCCACGATCAGTTGTTCTCGAACGAGGAGGTCGTTGACGTCGGCCGAGAACTATGCAGGAGCTGCAATGAGACTTACACGAGGAGCTGCGACCGGTAGGAACGCGGAGGCAAGGAGGCTGCTTAGAGGCAGACGGACGGATTCTGCGTAGAGGTAGACGGACGGATTCTGTTTAGAGGCAGACGGGCGGATTCTGCTTAGAGGCAGACGGACGGTTTCTGCTTAGAGACAGACGGACGGTATCTGCAGTGAGGCAGACGAACGGTTTCTGCAATGAGGCAGAATTGCTAGAGAGAGCCTGAGTGAGAGGGCTAAAACGGGTACAAAGGAGTACAGTTTGAGGACTACATTGCAAGCAACTCGGCTGGATTCGTAATCAAGCCGCTTCTGACACCATGTTGTGATCTCGAACTCGTCAGTCACTGAACTGATTTTATTGTAAAGAAGACACGAACTTATAGAGTGTGAAGAAGAGTATAGCGAGATAGAGAGCGGTAGAAGGAGAGCCACTGGACAGCTGGATAGTGTATCAATAAGCGCACGAGGGGAAGGCTAGACAGTATGTCTCTAGACATCAATAGGTATTGTACGAAAGGCCAGTCAATAGCACTAAGGAGTGAAGTCAACCACAACACAGACAATAGCTTCAGACAATCATGACAGGCATGATACGGATGATATAACATAGATCAGATCCACCAACCAGAGGCTAAAGGCCGAAATCCCATTTGCCACATCCATGTTTTCCTCCCAGTAAAAGTGTTTCGTGGACAGTGTACTCAATGACTGGACAGTATCAGAGAGAGACAGACAGATAGACTGACAGACAGACAGACAGGGAGAGAGAGAGAGAGAGAGAGAGACGGAGAGAGAGAGAGAGAGAAAGACGGAGACAGACTGACTTTGATGCTTTGAGCCGGATTAAAATTGCTTTGTTGTTCATTATACTTCACTATGGTCTGTTCGGCCAGTAACTGGGCTACGCTGAGGAGACCTAACAAAACAGTTAGCTGTCCATAGATAGCTACTTACAAGTATAACTCTGAGGAAGGCAGTGAGCTTTGCACGAGGGTGGATAACTTTGACTCTTATCAGAAAGAGGGGTCAACCGAGCTGAAAGAGCGTACTTATATTTATTGCATGCGCTGTTACCTGACGCCGCGTATAGGATCATATTGTTACAATCAAATATTTGCAGATTTTGCCCCTTGTCTCAGGTGCCTTTTCTCTAGGTAATACATAATCCAAAATTTGATAATAATATAAATATTTTATTATTATGCTCTTAAAGAGGTTTTGCATGATATCACTGCAGAGGCTTTGTGTAAAATGTGAAACAGTACTGGTTTGTAGTGAGATTGACTGGGAAACGTGCTGGTTTGTAGTGAGATTGACTGGGAAACGTGCTGGTTTGTAGTGAGATTGACTGGGAAACGTGCTGGTTTGTAGTGAGATTGACTGGGAAACGTGCTGGTTTGTAGTGAGATTGCCTGGGAAACGTACTGGTTTGTAGTGAGATTGACTGGAAAACGTGCTGGTTTGTAGTGAGATTGACTGGGAAACGTGCTGGTTTGTAGTGAGATTGACTGGGAAACGTGCTGGTTTGTAGTGAGATTGACTGGGAAACGTGCTGGTTTGTAGTGAGATTGACTGGGAAACGTGCTGGTTTGTAGTGAGATTGACTGGGAAACGTGCGGGTTTGTAGTGAGATTGACTGGGAAACGTGCGGGTTTTTAGTGAGGTTGACTGGGAAACGTGCTGGTTTGTAATGAGATTGACTGGGAAACGTGCTGGTTTGTAGTGAGATTGACTGGGAAACGTGCTGGTTTGTAGTGAGATTGACTGGGAAACGTGCTGGTTTGTAGTGAGATTGACTGGGAAACGTGCTGGTTTGTAATGAGATTGACTGGGAAACGTGCTGGTTTGTAGTGAGATTGACTGGGAAATGTGCTGGTTGGTAATGAGATTGACTGGGAAACGTGCTAGTTTGTAATGAGACTGACTGGGAAAGGTGCTGGTTTGTAATGAGATTGACTGGGAAACGTGCTGGTTTTTGGTGAGATTGACTGGAAAACGTGCTGGTTTGTAGTGAGATTGACAGGGAAACGTGCTGGTTTGTAATGAGATTGACTGGGAAACGTGCTGGTTTGTGGTGAGATTGACTGGGAAACGTGCTTTTTTTTAATGAGATTGACACGGAAACGTGCTGGTTTGTAGTGAGATTGACTGGGAAACGTGCTAGTGTGTGGTGAGATTGACTGGGAATCCAGTTCCACGACGGTGTACCGCTGGTTTATCAATGCCACTCCATGTGAAATGTTGCAATTGAGAGCATGATCGCAAAACTTCTTTGTCCTTCAAAGCTGGTGTGGCTTCATAAGTACTAGTCGTTCATAAAATATCCATATTAAATATGGATATTTTATTTTAAAGGTGGTGGGGATAGCATTATTTTTTATTTTTTATTTTTTTTAGATCCGAACTTTGTATTGTGGTTGTGGGTGTTCTCGGTCAACAAACATTGCGTATGCCAATACTCGTATGTGATTTCTTGGCACTCTTTCAGATGGGGTGCCGACGGAATTGTCTTCTCCGAACTCACGCTGGAGCATCGCAAGATACTGTGCAAGCGTCTGCAGCCGAACATCGACCAAGGGCAACTGAACGACTTGGCGGATTTCTTGATGGAGAGCTCGTATCCACAGGGATGCTCCAAAGTAAGTATCACTGTTGCCTAGAACAATCAGTCCAATCTGAAGATTTGCATTTGCAAAAGTCACATCTACTAACGCAATGTTCTGCGTTGTAGGTGAGAACAATCGACGGGCTCCGTTTTCTGTGAATACTCCTACTGGTAACCATCCTACGCTTTTCCTGAGCGCTGGAAAGAACCTTGTTTCATGAATATGAACAGGATTATGGAATGCCCACCCCACGGAATATCCGTTATTATTCAACCAACTACCGTGGCAAAGTCTGTGATAGAGCACGTCATTTTGTTGTTTTCTTTGCCTATTTGAAATGTTTGCCACTGCCGAATAGGGATGTTGTTTTCTCGCGGCACAGTTTTGCTGGTTTGTTTCTTGTTCCTCTCTGCTCGGGTAGATTGTGGCCGGTCGTGCCCGTGAGCACGGTCTGATGTTCTTCGAGGCCCTGCTGGATTTGTGGCTGGACAGTAACGGCTCTGCCAGTGCACGGCAGTACCTGAATGCGCTTGAGATGGTCAGCGCAAGTGCAACTGCTTATGCTAAGCGTGTGCTTCAGCCGGACCAGTGGTGACTGCTACACAACGCACCTGAGACCCCTGTGGCGAACACACAATAAGTGCTTTTATGCTGACTATTTCTGAGTGGTGAATGTCATTCACGCCTGGAGAATACTGCTCTAAGTTATGAATTGTAAGTCTGAATTCTCCCTTTGTTCATGCCATTTACACTGGGCATTGCAGCAGAATAGCACACAGCCATTCAGACGAATTGCCTTGTTTGCTAATTCGAAAAGCATAACTTTGAGGTGTAGATATTTCTCCATAAATACCTGGAAAGTCTATTTGTTCAGAGAGTTGATACTAATCTCCACGTAGAATGCAAGATAAAGTCGTGCGCTTGATGCAGATTTGATAGAATTGCAAAGTAGTTCTATTCAATCAACCAAGTCTTCAGTTACCGTTGACATTTTTGGTCAGTGACCATCACCAAGAGACTGAATTGCGAACTAATTTTTGTATACTTGCTGCTGATATTGTTGATTCTTCATTTCCCATGGGACGGTTCGAGGTTCATATTATCCCCGGCGTTTGGATACTTGGTTTAGCTGATCAGACGTGTTGACAAGTGCAGTGTCAGCATTTGCAATATTATAATCAGAAGTGTCTAATTTTGACAAAATATTTTTCTTTTATTGATTTTATAATTCTGAACCTGTTGTCAGGCCTAGGGTTCCTTCTGTCAAAATCTACTTCAAAGTATTTTAGGTTTTTTTCAAATTGAAAATTTTGTTGATGATATTTGATAATAATTCTCAAAAAATATTCACTGGTTTGAGGGAAAGACGCAAACGGGAAAAGTCTGAAGAAAGGAATTGACCGTCACCACCAGGACTCGAACCACGGACCCGCAGGGACTCTCATAATCTTCCCAATTATTTGTCCCTTCCGTGATAACTCAGCATTTACTTTACTTTTTTGTACTTGTAAGATGACTCAGTTGTGAAGCAGAAACTTGACCATACCACGGGGCCCGGGGTCACCATTCTCTTTATGTTGTTACTTGTGGCTGTAAGAACAGTCCGTGGGAAGTCCTGATTTCCACACACTGCACCTGCCAGCTTGGTGCTGTATTCGCGCTAATGAATTGCACCATGTAGGCACGAACTAGGTACAATGACCGCCTTCAGGCTGAGACCCACTATAAAAGAAAGACAGCAAGAAGGAGGTAGGGTGGGGTTGGATGGCATCCAGCGTATAGAAACAAATTATGCTGCTCTAGTTCATGATTTTACAAAGAAGAAGGCGAAAAGTCATGTTGTCCCTTGCTCAATTCTATCATCTGCTAAGTTCCCCTCGATGGCTGGCAAGCTGGATATTAGTAGAAGTATCACTTACAGCAGAAGTATAATCTAGCAATATTAGTAGAAGTATCACTTACAGCAGAAGTATAATCTAGCAATATTAGTAGAAGTATCACTTACAGCAGAAGTATAATCTAGCAATATTAGTAGAAGTATCACTTACAGCAGAAGTATAATCTAGCAATATTAGTAGAAGTATCACTTACAGCAGAAGTATAATCTAGCAATATTAGTAGAAGTATCACTTACAGCAGAAGTATAATCTAGCAATATTAGTAGAAATATCACTTACAGCAGAAGTATAATCTAGCAATATTAGTAGAAGTATCACTTACAGCAGAAGTATAATCTAGCAATATTAGTAGAAGTATCACTTACAGCAGAAGTATAATCTAGCAATATTAGTAGAAGTATCACTTACAGCAGAAGTATAATCTAGCAATCTAGATGGACTGAGTACACCATAATATGTATGTACATGAATTGGACACTGTCCTCAAGCCTAGATGATTCCCTGTATTCAGTCATCTTTCTATTCCTAAAGCCACATACATCCGTACAGACTACTTCAAGTAAGCAAATAGCAAAATGTATTTTTTCTCCGTTCCATCTTTCACTGGATTCGAACCCACACCCACAAGCATCCTTGGTCAGAAACTTAAGCCATTGTTCCATTTTGCCCAAACTGACTGCTGATGTGTACTTGAAGTACTTCAATTATAACTTGGATGGTACAAGCGTGTGCACAACACCACTCTTCAGCCGACCTCGACACGCTGGCACAGCACATCATCAGCAGAGGAATACATGCGCTCGTACAATGTACATGTACATGTACTCAGTTCCTTCATACAGCTGTTTCGATCGAACATGAATACAGTCAACTTCGCCAATAACGACTACGGATATAACGACAATTCGCAAATAACGACAGAATTTCCATGCCGAGAGCAAAGTCCCATCCCACTGTAATACATAAAATGAGACTTCGGGCATAACGACACTTCGCGAATAATGACACCTTTTTGATGCCCGCCGAGTGTCGTTATAAGCGAAGTTGACTGTACTAGTAACCTGTTCAAGGCCTAATGCTGCTGTTTGCCCTTGCATGGTTAAAACCTAATGAACATGTGACCAATACAAACATAATATGCAGACTATTATAGCAGGTATACATCTGTATGTGTACAGCTGTAGCTCAGTAGTAGTGATGCCAGTCACGGACGGACATTGCAAAGAAAATCACACTTGCTAAAGAAGCTCCAAGCAAAGACTCTGAGCTGGCTGACGCAAGATACAAGCAGATATTGAAAAGTCAACAAATCAATCAACTACGAGAAATGATTTCTTCTAATAAGAATATTCAAAAAACGATCTCAAGCCGCATGGCATACACCCTAAACTAGCCATATCATCTTAGTCATTGGTTCATTCAAGCCAAACCATGGGTATGGAATAATTGGAAAGAGATACATACAAAATACACACCCAGTTACTTCAACCTATACCGGAGCAGATTTCTCTGTTATCCGTGTACTAGTATTTAGAAAGAAAATCAGTGACCCAAAACACCTAGTAGGGCACAGCTGGAAGAATTCCAGGTGTAAATGTTGCACACGAATTCCTGGTCCGAAAAGGTTCCGATGCTTGCACAATCTGAGAATACATGCACATGAACTAGTGGTCTAGCTGCACTGATAAGGCCTAGATAGTCGAAAAAACTAGCTGACTGTACAGCATTGAATTGGATCTACTAGTACGCGGTTGAGTGAGGAAATAAATAAAATCAATACTGACAGGATCAAGGCCGGTGGCAAATAGAAACAGCCTAACATATTGAAAAGCAATCTGGGACGATAGAGCGGAGATGCTTTCTACTAGTGAGTACAGCTGGTCGGAATGTCCAAACCAAACTAGGGCATCAGCACATGCTAACATGGTCCCCTATTCTCTTCAGGACTTGATCTTCCTTGCAACCAAAAGTAAAAGTATGATACGAGAGAGGAAATATAGAGCTGGGTGCCTGATAGTAGTGAATAGACATAAAACTTGGAGTCAAAACATATGTCCTCCTCTCCAAACTGCAGAGGTGCTTTGCACAAACAAGTCAATAGTTTCGTGTAGAAGCAAACCTCTGGCATATGCAGCAGCACTCACCTACGACAAAGCGAATAAACATTCATACATTGTCATCGACACACTGTCTTGTGAAGCCGAACAGGACTAACAACTTCAATACCGGAGACTACGGGTGACGGAGCTTCTCCACGACGCACGTGATCCAGGGTGGGAGTGTGTCTGTCAGCTCAACCATGGGGCTATCCAGCACGACGTAATGAAGGCATTCTGGGGAAGCACACAGGGTAAAAAAAATTCAACCTTTACAGTGACGTAATTGATAATTGATACAGTTTTAGACCGCAGTTCAATAACACCACTGCAGGCAATCTCTTTCTTAGCATGATACAAGTAGAATTATGTACATGAATTCTGGGCATACATATTTGGTGCCCAATTCATGTACATAACAAGAGAGCTTGAAAGCTCAGAGCCCTAAGCTTATCTATTTTGCCTAGCGAGAGTCAACTTTCTCCTTGCATTCGATGGTAATGCGACACTGTCTACCGCCTTGATAACCTTGGCAAAAAAAAGCATAGGGATGTTATCAATTTGTCATTTCTCCTTTTTTTATTTAAAGACAGCCTTGGATTCGAACCTGCAGTATCGCCCTGCATGCATTCCCCCAATACACTTCGCATACATACTCATTCTTCCAAGTTGCATCACGTTATGGTCTTGCATTTGAAAGCCCTATTTGAATATTGTGGCCAGCTGTCTTTGATGGTACGGTACGGGACAGGTACGGGATAGCGCCAGGCATGCCGATCGCACAAACAACAAACAAACAAAGAATTAAAGCTGTGTGGACACTGGCTAGCATGCAGAAGACGTTACTGAAGTAACGTCTTTTGCAAAGCTACGGGAATAATACTTCAATGGATGCCAACAGAAATTACTTCCGAAAGAAATATGAAAGGATGTTGAAAATTATGGGATTTGTAACCGCAACAGATTACCAAAGTGATTTTTGGAGTTTTCCCTCAAAGGCTGTCCATGCGTGATTTTACATGATTGTATCTCTTGATGGCATTGGAGACACGAGACATACATGTAGTACAAACTGAAGAGGTACAAAAACACACCACCATTGCCAATACCGCATCTACAACTAGCAGAGTGGGAACATGAGACACAGTGGTGCTGTTCTTTATCTTTGCCTCAGACGAGGAGCACAGCACTAGTGTGGGCATGTAGCGTATTTCCGGAGTATAAGCCGCACTTCAAACACTCGTAATTCTACCAAAAATATCTCAGTGCGGTTTAGACCACGCTGGTCAAATGAACTGTGAAATACAGGGTAGATGTCTGCATTCGTGAACAAATAATTATCTGGGTGCGGCTTATACTGCAGTGTGGTATATAGACCGGAAAATACAAATAGAAATTTCACTTAGGATGCTCTTCAACTGTCGTGAACATGCATCATAGCCACTCATGCCACAGTACTGTTGGATGGCGAAGAAATGGGGATCGGCCTCTTAGCCTAGGCCGTTCATATTATTTTGTTATGTACAGCAGTCTATGCGCATTGTAGTCATCGTGTATATATCGGTATGCTGTGCTTAGTGAAATTCTAGCCTGCTCATTCTTCAGCGCTACATCCGTTGGCCCCCAAAAGTGCTATACTCATACACCATTTAAGTATCACAGAGATGATGGATCTTTTTGAGGAGTATGAGGAATTTTCGATTTTCCAAGTTCGAGTTAGTCTTGACTTTCATGGATGTAACAAATAGGATTTCGGCCTTTGGTCTCTGGTTGGTGGATCTAATCCAGCCTCCCCCACCATCTGACGCCTGATCATGAGGTGGTGGCGTCCCACGGGAGTGGAAAGGAGACTCTTGACCCCGCCCTGTACGCGTGCAATTGTTTTAACTTTTATGAATCTCGATTATCATAGATTTTGCTTCAAATCGATAACAAATTGAGTGGTTGGCGTTTGATTTCATTTGTAATGGCAGACGAACCGAGTGATGTCAACCAACATTCGGTGTATACAAGCAGTAGATTTTTCAATCTGCAGTGCGCTGTTGCACGATTGTTGTTTGTCCACCTGGAACCTCTAGTCACCTAGTCAGTTGGCCTGTGTGTGCCCCAACTGACCATCAAGCGAGAATGGTAAGGTGGAGGAAGCATGCAGCAATAGCCACCGATCAAACAAAAAACGATGCTCAACAAAACGTAGAAAGAGGACACACTTCGGGACACTCAACATTATGAACTTTTCACGAGCATACTATCATGCCTTCTCATTGCCTTAGCTATCTCATCCCCCACCAATATCTTCTCAATCCATGCTCCATGAATAATACAAAACAGCACCGAGGCTTGCATTCCGATTCTAACCCTCCACCGACCCTGCTTGCTTCCACCCTTTCTTCATGTGTAGTGGAAATAGATTATTAGCCATTTCACGTAAACAAGCCAGGTTCAAGGATTGTGAAGCCACCCCTCCCAACAACGGGATCCGTATACAAGTTGTGAAACTATTGTGTTTAGACGTGTCGTTCACATTGAAATGGTGAGAATAGTGTGAAACGTTTCGAAAATACGTCAGAAGCTGCGACAAACTCGGCCATTTTTGAAAATATTTTTGAAACTTTCCACCTCTACACACTGCGCTCTTGGCCCACTTTCACCACACCAAGGGAAGTTCGTTCTTGGATAGATGCTCCATATCCTCCAGACAGCTGTTTCGCTCATTAAGAGCTCTTCAGAGAAGGTAGACAACGAATGAATAGCAGATAAATGAACAGGCATGTTCACGAGCGCAGTGTGCGGAGGTGGAAAGTTTCGCTTTGAAGATGATGCCGAAAACAAGCGCAATCACTTCAAAGCGTTTTCAAATTTCGATTGCTCATCGCCTTGGTGTTAATGAGTGACCATGGTTACCGTTCAGAAACATATCACACCATACAGCCTGCCTTTCAGTGAGTTAGAGCCCAGTTTTTTAGCTCAAGCGTCGTCTTTGAGTTGTTCAATCCTTGTTCACATCCCTTGCCATAGCAATGCGTACACATCCTGAAAGCTGGTGCCCACATGTCTATCTCAATACAAGGTATAAACACTTGAATTGCCTCTTTGTATGCAGGCAGACACTCAAAAACAGATTGAAACTTGAACTTGTTCGCACCACTTTGCATTGTCTCCATACAAAACAGAGTGCCCGGCCGGGAGAATGTTTGGATTTCTCCATAACTGCATATTAATTTTCAATGCTTTTGCAGCAAGACATCAAGCAACAAGTAATACTCACATCAATCTTTCTCTTGCATTGACTTAGCGAGGTAGATAACATCCCATGAAAGCCAAGAACTGTTCATGGTTCGCAACATCTTTGTTGATACGACCGCCATGGGCAACGTGTTCTGCTTGCTACACGTTTGGAGATCTCCGTTTGCGGTCATAGTAGATGTGGCTGCGGTCGGGTCCTGGCAACTTGGAAAGCGTGGCATACGTCTTGTAGCCTGTCGGCACACTATACTAATATTTGTGCGCGTGGTCAGGATCGTCTCAACCATGATTGTAGTCAGCTGGCAATCACCATGAACTGGGTACCATGAACTGGCAAACTGTAGGGCTGCACGCCAGCACTCTGCATAGAGCACATAGCTTCCTGCAGGCATTAGTTCAACCTGGCATGTTCATGTCATGCGCTGTTTGCGGTGTTTCTCCGCTTAGGCACATTCCACACACGTGTTATTGGTACACGCTGGCTGCGTTGTGTTCGCTGGGCTTCACGCATTTCCCCATGGCACCATTTGCACTGTGGAAAAGGCAGCATTTTGCGGAGATTCTAACAGTCCCTCATGGCATCTCTCATTGCACAGGTTGAAGTCCGGTGGATGAGCAGATGCGGCTAAGCTCAAAGCAGGATCAATGAAGCCCAGCTACTTCCAGAACTCCCGGTGAGTCACGTAGTGACTACCAGTAACGGTGTAGTATAGGATCGGCCTGCCTCGGTAAATGGCTCGTACTTACAGGAATCTGGCCATACCTTATCCTAGAAAATGCTGCGGCTTGGTGCACTCACATCGCATTATTCCATGTGCTTGGTGACCAGCTTGATGTCTGCATTGTCCTTTGCACTGTTCTCCGTTGTCCTTCTTGTCACATCGGTATAGGCACTGGTGTTCACACTGAAAGTAATGCATGGCCTTGACAGGGTTCTTCTCGTATTCAATGTGACCCATCTTGTCCTTGTACACCGTAATGTCCACCGGCGGATGGTATAGCTCTAAATAGCACTTGGACGCCTCAGCTTTGCCATCTTTATCAACATCTAGCTGATGGTTACACTGAGCACTGCACCTGGAGAAGTCTTCACCGATGTCTGCTCTTGTACAATACGGATCTTCGAATCCAATCTTTCTCCAGAAGACGTGATGCGATGTCAAGTCGTACCCGGCGACTTGTCTAATCCCCATATGCTTGTGGAAAGGCTGGAGCTGATAGGAAAACGGTGTTCTCTTCTTGCAGCTGCAATCCACATGGTGTGAGTGTGAGGGACCGGCAGCATTGCAAAACTCACTACAGGTTTGTTGTTCAGAGAGTCTTACTGTATTGCCATCCTGCTTGGTAATAACTGCCTTCTCGGGGTCGATCACAACACTATGGTCTGTTTCGCAGGGCCCTGCGTGAGCGTATCGCAATCTGCAGTAGCGCTCACACAGAGGGCAGAACTTCTCACAGGTGTGCTCTCTACCGCAGCTGTGAGACTCTTGTCGCTTTCCATGATTGGACTGGCCCACAGGATATGCCACACTGCACTTCACTTTGTAGGCGTTGCTGTTCTGACGTATACGTCGGCTTCCGATTGGAGCAGGGTTGTCAGCTGATCCAAGAAAGCAAACACCGGGGTGAGAGCTGTCACAAAACTCTCTGCAGTCATGTTCTTCGAAGCAATGATGCTGTGGAACACCTGCAAAGTGTTTGGGGTCACCAGTTCCTGGGCAATCTGCCTCACACCGAGGGGAGCAGTTATGCTGGATCTGATTCTGGCATCCACGATTGCAAAGATTTCCTGCGTTGCGAATTGTGCAGCGCTGGGTGCACTTGTGCTGGTCCTTCTCAAAGAAATGAAAGACAGTGGACCGCTGGAGTGATAGCTGATCTATGACACCCATGACATAGCCTGTCCTTTGCATACGGTATGATGCGTGCCACATCTCTCCAGCACAGTGAGGTCTGTCCTCTTCACCATGGCTTCCAGGGCATTGCACATGGCAGGACTGGAAGAAAGAAACTTCCTTGTCAGAGTAGGGATCTTTGTATGATATTGACTGCCAGAATGTGGCGTGAGACGCAATATGCAGACACTGCCCTTGCCACTGGTAATGCCGTATTTGACCGGGGTCCACTGTGCAATGTGCCTTGTTTTCACACTTTCCAAGCGCATGAAAATGACCAGCACCAGCAGTCTTGCAAGAGGTAGCACAGGTCATCTGTTGCGTGCTCCGAACTTCCCGCTTGTCGCCGTAAAATATCTGCAACCTCCTTCTGCTTGTGAAGGGCCTGTGGTCTGCCTCGTGCACAGGCGTTGTGTGATTGATTTGAAGAAGACATGGCGCTGCACAATGCCGGCATGCATCCATACACAGATGAATACCTTTGCAAGAGTGAGATCCTGTATGACTGCGAACTCCACGTTTCAGCGAAATGTTGCACGTGAGCTTCTGCCAGCTATCTGCCTGCCCTGCATTTTCTGCCCTTGGAACGCTCTGTCCATCAACCTCTTCTACTGGCTGCTGCTCACAACGACCACCATCTTCACATTGTGAAGCACAAGTATGCTCCTGTTCACAGTCATGCAGATCGCCTTCATGCTGATGATGAAGATTGCATTGATTTCTGCACTCTTGGATGTTACATACCGCATGGCACTTTGTGTCGTCGCAGTAGCATTTGTGATCAAATCTCTCAGAAGACTCGTGACATTGCTTGGGGCACTGGGTTGTTTCATCTCGCGAAGTCTTCTTGACGCTGCACATGTTGCCACATGGATGGAACAGCTCACATGAACACGTGCCGTCGTGAGAGATCTCTTTTCGGCATCGCTCACAGCACTGCTCATTTCGGTCAATGCATTCACATCTACCATGGCATATGTGCTGCTTTTGGCACAGAAAGTGATGACCAGGCAGTGTTCCTGACTGCTGGTAGTCTCTCTCAATACTGGTGTAGCCACCGGAGTTGTTTGTCGGACCCGTTAATCTGCCATGTAGCACTGCTTCAGTGCAGTAGTTGAGTCCAACAGGGTGGTCGTCATGCTGAATGCCACTGCTTGAATCCTCACAGTCTGCAGGTAAGCAGTCGTGGCAGTATGCTGAGCATTGACCGAAGATCTCTCGATCAGTATCACTGCTGCACGGGTCTTCAAAGTCGAAATGAGACCAAAAGCGACGGTGATCGATTTCCCCAGCATTCTTCCCCTGGACAGCACTGTCTCTGGTTGTCATTAAGTGAATGTGTCCTCGTCCTGCTGAGATGCAGAGCTGTTTGCAAGTGAGATCCGATCCATGTCTGACTAGATCTCTCGTTTCCTTCTTCAGAACCGCTGCGGTATTGACGATATTTCCGTGATCTTCAATGGAGTGCAGGCCGTCATGGCATATCTCTTTGTCACAGTAACAGCTGCACATAGGACACATGACTCCACATCTGTGAACCTTTCCACAGTGGTGTTTGGGAGCTGCAGTGTGATTAGTCAGGTTGGCTGGTATAACGATTGAGCATGGAAGTCGATAGCCATCACGGCCAGCTTTAAGCTTCCATGCATCTCCATCCAGGGGCTCTCGGCTTATTTCACATACACCACTTTGGTCGTCACACACATCTAAACATTGGTGCTCATAGCCACAGAGATGAGTGTGGTCAGCAATGATTGGTGACGCGCATGGAAGATGAACATCTCCGCTTTCAGTGCTAGGACTGATCGGGTGGGAGCTGAGAAGGCATGGTGCATTACAGAGATGTTCCTCAGTTGGTAGAGTACAGAGATGCTGATTAGGGTGATCGATGAATAGAACACACTCCTTGTGACACGTCCTTGATGATGCTAGGTGACATTGCAATCGGCACATGTGTCTGTCAGGCTCTTCGTATGCCTCACAAAGGTGTTGATAACCATAAGCAACCTCTTCAAAGTCCTCGTGTCCAGCTTTCTTACTGCACAACTGCTGACATCTGTGCCGTTGTTCAGCATTGTGAACTGGACCCTGGCAAATATGTTTACATCTGTGACTCGGGCTAAGACAATCACAATCCGAAGACTTGTCATGACCTCTTAACTTCAAGCAGCGGAAGAAGCAATAGCGGCAAGTTTTCGGACTTCGATCTCCACACAGGACCCAGCTCAATCGGAAGATATCGATGGCATCTTCGAAGAGCGATTTGTCAATGAACGAACAGTCTTCAATCTCCAAATAGTTTGTCACTAGCTGCTTCGCGTGTTCACATCTTCGAGCCACGATGTCTTTTACGCACCATTGCACAGCAGCTACAAGATTTAAACGCTTGTTAATGGTGGATTCTTCACCAAACGCTTGCTGCAAGCCATCTTTGATCTGTGAGACAACCTCCGTTACTGTATCCTCATTTGCAGACAGGTGTAATGCTGGGAGACGTAGTTCTTTCTTTACCCTTTCGTGTGTATATGACAAGTTCTCTGTGTCAATCATTACACTGGGATCGTCATCAACTCCAGTCTCACAGAACTTGGCCAGCTTGACACGAAGTTGGGATATATGGAAAATATCCATCTCGTGCAAGCCTTGAAAGCTATGAAAGCTGGTAATGGCCAGGGCTAGGAGGAGGTTTTGACAAGCCAGAAACGAACCTCCATCCGCAAACAACTTGATGGGATTTCGAGGATTTTTCAGAATGGCGTACGCTGTATCAGCCAAGATGTCACCACGAACGCGTGAGTCCGAGAGCCTCCTGTCGCAATCTTGCACAGAGGATGGACATGACATAGTGCTGAGATCATAGGTAGTTGTAGACACTGTTGGGAACATGGATCCTATCACAGATCCAATTGCAGTCAGCTTTGAGTTAACTGTGACCGGCGTGGACAGGCATTCAAGCTGAAGCTGATTGCTGGACAGAATAGCCAGATGACACTGGAAGAGGCTTTTGTCCACATACAATCGGTCGAGGCCATTGCATAGATCATTGCCTTTGAAGGGCAGTTTATCTGACAGCGCAGATATTGCCTTTCCAAACGCAACCAAAGAATCCTGACTTTGACCGACGTCCAACAGGAAGAGGCGGCTGAGTGCAATAGCTGAAAGCAGCAGATCCCTTTGGCCCGGCTCCAGTCCATGTTTTGTAATGGAGTCCATTGTAATGCCTGTGAATGCTAGCAATACAAATAGACGGCTGGGAGTAAACCGAGTGCAGGCCAACAAGCAACTCACAGGATGCCCATTGCCACCAGCAGCATTTCCGCTGCTGCTGGTGGTGTCGCTGCTGCTGCTGCTGGTGCTGCCGCTGCTGGTGTTGCTGCTGCTGTTGCTGCTGCTGCTGCTGCTGGTGGTATTGCTGCTGGTGGTATTGCTGCTGCTGGTGCTGTTGCTGCTGGTGGTATTGCTGCTGCTGCTGCTGGTGTTGCTGCTCCTGCTGCTGTTCCTGCTGCTGGTGCTGCCGCTGCTGGTGTTGCTGCTGCTGTTGCTGCTGCTGCTGGTGGTATTGCTGCTGCTGGTGTTGTTGCTGCTGGTGGTATTGCTGCTGCTGGTGGTATTGCTGCTGCTGCTGCTGTGGGAGAAGGAGCCACTACTAGAGAATGAAGCACCAGCCAGGGTGTTGAGGCAGTGGAATGCTGCTTCTTCAGTCTGGGACAGACAAGTAACAACCGTCACCGGATGTGGCCACTTGCGCAGGCTCTCTAGCGGATTAACGCTGTCAATGCGATGGTAACAGTTCCCTACTTCCGAACTCAGCTGGTCACAGATCTGCTCAGCTACACACGGAAAGGCAGTGCAGGCCAATAGGGAATCAGCGTGCCGGGACTTTCCCTGGCCATGAGCTGATGTGCTCTTCTCGGCTGGCTTGTTGAGTGAAGCAAGGAGAGTGATTGGTGATGGTACAGTCATGTCATGAAGCCAGAGGTGCGTGGGACTCTGCACAGGTCGACACAAGTGAGACGGATGGCACAATGACATGTCCTGTGATGAGACTGACACCACTGGCAGTCGTACTCTGACACTGTCCTTGTGGCTTGTGTCACCAGACACATCATCACCTTGATCTAAAGTAGACTCCATAACGAATTCTCTGCAAACAAGTTCAGCCAGTCGTTTATCACCCATTCCAGATGGTCCGTCATCGAGCATGGAAGGCCAGATATGAAGGAGTGGTAGGCCAGCATATTGATAAAGTGGATAAATTGGGTACTCTCGGTACACAGATCGGAGTAACCTAGCAGTAGCATGCTGCACAGTTGGTTGCTGGGTAGCCTCAGTAGCAATTTTGAACTCGCCGCCTTCGAATATAACCGGGAACGTGGTGGATGATGACTTGGTTTTGTTGAACTCACCCACTTCTATATTCTGATACAGGAGGTGCAGCGACTGGCTGCCATGGGTTGCCTTGTGAAGGAGCTGCTGGTGAATGGTTTCGTCATCAGAGTCATGAAGCTCAACGACAAGGTAACACTGGCAGAGGTGCTTGTCACGACGGTTAATGATCATGCGTATGGTACTACCGTCATTGCTGTTTGCTGGCCATAGCGCTGCATACTGAACTGGAGTTAAACTAGAAGCGAGGTGATGACAACAGTATGATTCTGTCGCGTCACGGGCGCCGATCAAGGCCACAGTTTCCAGCCAAATGTCACTGCTTTGAGTTGAATAAGCAGGCTTTTCAAGTGCAGAGAGGTCACGGTCCATGACATTCGCCTGCAGGACAGACGATAAGCTTGGCTGATTGGCTGGTTTTGGCGGCAATACCGTATTAGCTGCGCCAGGATTCAATGTGTAGTCCTGTAGTATTGTCGAAGCATCCGTGTGGTACTGGATGGACGGTCGTTCGTGCAAGTAGAAGTCACCGTTGCTGGATTGTAGTAATGACAGACCAGCTTCCTTGTGGCAAGAGAACAGTGGAATGACATGCCATGGGATCAGATCTACAAAAACACAAACACGACAAGGAAAAAAGAGAATGCAGGGAGTCAAAGATTGCAAGAAGATGTCCATGGTAGTCAACACTATCAATGCACTAGACTAGTGTCTTCACAAGATCAGTGTGAGAGTAACAGTGGCGTGTGCTTGTGTCTGCCGTTACTGCTGTAAAACAGGTAATGTTTGCGACAAGAAAATGCGGATTAGTAGGGATACAGACTGGTCTGTGCTGTATAATATTTGTGATGGAATAAATCACGATCTATTACTTCACATTTTATGGCACGAGGGTGCCAAGTTCAATGTTTGTGATAACGCAAAATTGTGAACTTTCTGACATCGCAAACATTTCCCTTTTTACAGTATCTGGTCGTCACTATTCCTTGGAGGACGATAGGCAGGAACATGGTACGCTATTATGTGAACGTCATGAGTACATGGGGCATGCGTGTGTTGCTATTGTGTGAAAATCTAGTCTTCGAGTCTTTCTTATCCTCATGCGTTTCTGTCATATCTTTGCGAAAAGGTCTTTTATCAATTTTCGTTCTTCAACAGCTTTGATCGTGGGGATGGTAGAAGAAGGTTTGAAGCATGATCATTCTGCATACTACCTAGTACCGTATTTTACCGGTTGTAAGTCGACCCCCGTATCCGGAGGTCTCAATTCTGCGTTTTAAAGTTTTCACCCAAAGAAGCACAACTAACCACTCCCTTCTACTAACACAACAACAAATCATGTAAACATTCATAAGTGGAGGGTATAACGTCCCAATCCTTGAAAAAGGCCAATAAACTGGCAAAAAATGTGTGCATGGTGCACTCGTGCATGCAGTGCAGGTCGTTTTTGTAAGATACTGATAGTTCCCGGTTATACCGTATTTCCGCAAAATTGCCGGTCTACTATTTTTTCAAACTCGTCCTAACCCGGCCCGTCAGGCGAAATAGCACGTCATAGTACATTCGAGATCAGCGGGAAGAAGATGACGACGTCCACTAATTTAGTATCTGTGCACAGGATTCTGCTGTGTGTGTTACTCTGTGTGTCAGCTATGGCATCATCGCCTGTGGTTCCATGCCTAGCATGTACGTCTGAACCATCCTACAAAGTTTGAATGACGTAGGTTGAGCGATCGCTCCGCGAAACATACTTTTTGAAATTCTCTTCATAGTATATCTTCCACCATTGAAATTTTCGAATTTCTTCAAAAAAAGTGCTGAGAGGGGTGGCTTGCAACCTCGATATGGCTTGTTCCCGGCATGCTTTGGAGCCATCGCCTGTTGAAACAGTGGCGGGAAGCTGCCCTGCAACTGTTCCAGCAGGAAATTAATCGATCCGAGAAAGCGCGAGTCCGCGAATCTCGGTTGAATATTGAGTATTTCAAGCCTTTTCACGACGAAGATGGAGTTCTTTTTGGAGATGGACGTCGCGACAAAGGACATGGTGTCCGACTTCTGGCGTCTGGTGAAGCCAGGGATCATTTGTCCAGTCAGGTCGGCAGCCTAACCGTCGGTAAGCTTGTGTTTGGATCCCGTTCTGCTCGATGTGGTAGATCACAAACAATTTGATATCGCACAAATTGATCTCAGCATCGTGCGTACGGTATTCTATATTCAGAAAATCCCAAAGTGTCTCTGTGTGGCCGTCCTATGCCACGAGAAACTCCAATCAGGCTCCTATGTCCTCTGCCTTCATGATTGAATGTCCACTTCGTTTGAACAACGAACACAACAATCGAGGACGGCTTTGCAATGAAAAATACAGCTATACTAGAGCTGAAAAAAAGAATAAAAAAACGGGCTCAGGATGAGACTCGAGTACACGCATACTCTCCCAGCAGGTGAAACGCAAATTTTTGTGAAAAATGCGTGACGCCGACTGACCAGTAATTTCGCCTGACGTTATACTTGAGGACGGTCTTGTATTCGAGGACGGTCTTTTATTCTTTCAACCCAGTTTGACCCCGGTCTTCTATTTTTCGCCACACAGTTTTACCCCCGTTCTTCCATTTTCTTCTACACAGTTAGAGCACGGTCTTCTATTTTTTCTCACAGTTTGAGCACGGTCGTAAGACTCATTTAGTAGGCCCGGTCTTCTAATCGGAGACGGTCTGGTATTTTTTCAATCGCCCCCTGCCCCGGCCTTGTATTCGAGGAAGGCGGTGTATACGAGGACGGTCTTTAATTTGCGGAAATACAGCAAGTCGAATCCCGGTTGTAAGTCGATCCCCACCCTTTCTCCTTCTATTTTTAGTCGTAAAATGTCGACTTACAACCGAAAATATACGGTATCTTCTTTCTAGATAAGGAATTCTCGGACACTGTGTATACTCTGAATTACTGTTTATGCTCCCCGTGTCGATTTCCCCTATGCTTAGCAAAATGCAGTGACAATACAATACAATACAATACAATGCAATGCAATGCAATGCAATACAATACAATACAATACAATACAATACAATACAATACAATACAATACAATGGTGAACCGATGTAGGCACTGCTACATGTAAACATGACCGGGGAGGTGTCCCGTTGGATGGAACTTGGCACAACCCGTGCTTGATTGCTATGTACACCGTGCTACATTTTAAAGCCATTAGTCATTTCCATTCCAGGTTGCAAAACCTACTGGGGAGGGACACAGCATGGGGAAGGGAGAAGGGGTCAACAGCACTTTACACAGAAAATTGGGGAAATCGTTTTGCGCAAAATTGTCTGTATTTGATGAATGCTTACTGTTGCGGCGGAACTGCTGCAATGCGTCAGTAATCTTCTTAGCCAAGTTGCGATTTCCTTGTTCAGAGATGAGTCTTATCACTTCCTCCACATTCACCTTTTTGTCAGAGAGTAACTCATTCAGCAGTAGTCGACGCTTGCTCTCCAGGCTTTTCCCGCTGTTGCGTATGATGTCTGCAACCCTGGCACGTGTTAAGCCTGAGCTGAACTGATAGGCCGTGCACAATTGCTTGAGATCCACTTCAAGAAGCTGCTCGTAAAAATCGTATAGGACCTGCATGCAAACACCATACAAATGGAATGAATGCTCCTGCTCATATTTTCACAATGAATAGTACCCTTACACCTCGGTTATCCGGAGCCCGAAGTACTTCGGTCCACTGGACACCCTTCGGCCAAACTGCAGTGGAAATAATAATGCTACTTTGCCACTTTTTTTGTGGAAACAGTGACGTCACATGCCATATCTATGGCCTTTCCAAATCAAAATGTATGTTATTCGGAGTTAACAACCACACAAGCCGACCTGTTTGGGAGCTATTACGCGTTGTATTATCAGGGCATAGGCAACAATTGCCGCATGCAGTATGCAATACTATGGACCAATGCCGTAGTATCGCAGGCAACAATTGCCGCATGCAGTATGCAATACTATGGACCAATGCCGTAGTATCGCAAGCACCAATGTGCGTTAGACTGGCCAATGCCAGGGCTAATGGGGGCAACAATTGCCCGGCGTGTCAATACACGCATACGGTAGGGATGCACTTGTGAGCACATGTAGGCGCACTTGGCTCAATGCCGGCCTGACCCACGATCCCTACCGTTCTCCCAAAATACAAAATGACCCAAACAGGAATTATCGGCATTACTATAGTTATAGTAGCGTTACTATAGTTATAGTATAATAGGTATATCATATGTACACTACAGCTGTTGCTAGGGCCGTCCAATGCGGCTACCCATTAGCATAACGGGCAGAGACTAGAACAATGCCGCTGGCAATGCTCTGTCTGCGACAGGAGTGCGGACATAGCGGAGGTAGGCAGAGCTTTGCCACCTGCCGGCGGTCTTCAGCACGTACTCAGGCACGCCAGCTTTGCCTGCCAGCGTTGCAGCGCCTCGTCTGAGGCTGTGGCTGCGCACGTCTTTGTTAGGCAAGGCTGTTTGTAGTAGCCTGTTGATGTTATGCGGCTTCAGGGGCGTGCCGTCATCATAGCGATAGAGCGGGCCAGGTGCCGAGCCACGGGCTGCTAGGTAGCTGGTGGCTGCCGTGTGCGGGCATGTCGGCGAGCCTGTCCTCCTGACGCTAATGTCCTGGCCGCTGCCGTATTGGCTCGTCTTTGTCACACGCAGGCGCAGCTCCACGCGGTCTGGGTACATGGTCGCATCGCTGTACTCAAGGCCGGCGCCCCGTGCCGTGAAGGTGTACTCGTTGACTCTGAGCAGCCCGTGGAAGGCCAGAGTCACGGCGCTCCAGAGCATGGCGCGGTTGTGCGGGCTAGGCACGGTGGACTGCAGGTAGTGCTGTACGCCAGCCAGATCGTCCAAAGTTGCGGCCCGCGTCGTCAACTGCTGAAGGGTGGACTGCGCTGGTTGTGTCGGCACTGCGTCGGCAGTTGGGCTGCGAGTCCAGAAGCGTCGACAACCTGACCCAAACAGGATTTATCTACATTACTATTACACTACAATTGATGTGAGTGCCGTCCAATGCGGCTGCCCATTAGCATAGTGGGCAATGCGCTCAACGTACCAGATATGGAACAATGCTGCTGGCACTGATCAGTCACTGGGTATGGCTTGCCCTAGTGCGGGTGACAAGCGTTCGGAGCGCTGCAGCGAAGCGTATGTTGTGATGGAGCTGCCCGCCAGGCCCTGGCGGATGAGGTCCATGGTTGCGTCATCAACTGCTGAAGGGTGGACTGCGCTGGTTGTGCCGGCACCGCTTCGGCAGTTGGGCTGCAAGTCCAGACGCGCTGACAACCGGACCCAGACAGGATTTATCTGCATTACTATTACACTGCAATTTATGTGAGTGCCGTCCAATGCGGCTGCCCATTAGCATAGTGGGCGATGTGCTCGAAGTACAGGATCTGGAACAATGCTGCCGGCACTGATCAGTCCCTGAGGTTGGCTTGCCCTGGCGCAGGGCGACAAGCGTTCGGAGTGCTGCGGCGAAGCGCATGCCATGCTCGAGCTGTCCGCCAGGCCCTGGCGGATGAGGTCCATGGTTGCGTCGTCAACTGCTGGAGGGTGGACTGCGCTGGTTGTGTCGGCACCACTTCGGCAGTTGGGATGTGAGTCCGGCAGCGCTGACAACCTGACCCAAACAGGATTTATCTGCATTACTATTACGCTGCATTTGATGTGAGTGCCGTCCAATGCGGCTAGCCATTAGCACAGTGGGCAATGCACTCAAAGTACAGGATCTGGAACAATGCTGCCGGCACTGATCAGTCCCTGAGTGTGGCTTGCCCTGGCGCAGGGCGACAAGTGTTCGGAGCGCGGCAGCGAAGCGCATGTTATGCTGGAACTGGCCGCCAGGCCCTGGCGGATGAGGTCCATGGTTGCGTCGTCAACTGCTGGAGGGTGGACTGTGCAGGGTGTGTCAGCACTGCGTCGGTAGATGGGCTGAGAGTCCGGAAGCGCTGTACTCGAAGACGAGTAAGAGACTTAGCAGGATCATTGCAGAGTCGCCGTTGGGCTGAGAGTCCACATCAGCCGGTCTGTTGAACGGAAGGGGGAGGATCTAAGGCCAAATGGTGGTGCCTTATCTACATGGTACGAACCTTCCCAAAAATGCCAAGCCGGGGCCAGACATGAGGGGAAACAGGCCAAAGCCGCCAGGCATACTTCGTGTCAGCTTTAGAGAGGAGAGCTCAGCATCAGGGACCTAAATTTCCGAGCCATCTTCAAGATTATGGGCTGGTGCGAAAACAGCTCCGGGGGCCCTGGAGGGGTGTGCTGCTGCGTCAGTCGCACAATACGTGCTCCAAGTGTCGCGAACCTCCTCCCGACTAAAGTCTCCCAGGCCAGGGATGGGGCTGCAGTTGCCTCGGCTAGGTTCTGCTCCGCTGCCGGAGCGGCCAAGTCCTCGCGTACAGTAGTCTGGAGCCAACTTCAACTCGAGCAGGCGAGTCCGCGGAGTAGGTTTTGTTCCTGTCGGGTCTAAATAATTGCGGGATGCCAGTGCGTTTCGCAGCTCAGCAGAGGGCATTTTGGCTGGACATCGCTCACTGACAGAGACATGGTTGATCGGATATTGATCAGAAACTGGCCGCGATTGTCAAACAATTTGACCGTCAAGGCAGCAAAGCAAAGAGCGTTATGGCTGGACATCGCTCACTGACAGAGACATGGTTGATCGGATATTGATCAGAAACTGGCCGCGATTGTCAAACAATTTGACCGTCAAGGCAGCAAAGCAAAGAGCGTTATGGCTGGACATCGCTCACTGACAGAGACATGGTTGATCGGATATTGATCAGAAACTGGCCGCGATTGTCAAACAATTTGACCGTCACTGCGTCAGCGCAGCAAAGCAAACGGAGCGTTTTGGCTGGACATCGCTCACTGACAGAGACCTGGTTGATCGGATATTGATCAGAAACTGGCCGCGATAGTCAAACAATTTGACCGTCAGCACAGCAAAGCGAAGAGCAAGCTCAAAAACTGGCCAAGGTTGTCAAGCGATCTGACTGTTGGCGCAGCAAGGATGAAGAAGAAACAGCATCGAGAGCCGGAGTAATGCGCATGCTCCGCGTGGTCCCGTGCCGGGGCGCGGGAGTTCGGAGTGCGTGTTCTGCACGGGCACGTGATGCGCTATGGCAAGTACGTGCAAATTATGTTAGGAATGTAATTGTTGGTGGGTTGCTAACTTCACTTACCGTGCCATGCACGGAAACTTATATTTACGGACATTTCGAAGTTTACAAACTGTGACCGGTCCCGGACCGCCCGAATAAATGGGGCACGAGTGCATGAGAAACACAAACTCAGGTATAATAAGGTGATCATGTGTGTACAAAACTTGTATTGGTAATAACTTTGGCATACATTAATATTTTTCAGCCAAATTTTCTGTGGTGATACATTGGGTTAGTTATCATCGATTTCCAATATCAAATTTAAATTATGAGCTGAATGACGTCATCAGTGCTACTTTTTATGTTCAGATTTCAACCCAAAACGAGGAGAAAACGAAAAATAGTAAGGCCACAAATCCTGGTGAATTGGATAGCCTTTGGGCCCTAGATAAAGGATATTGGTGGATATTGTACATAGATAACAACATTTCGCTGGAAACCAGTATCGACTTGTTTCACCATACGCACTGTACACATTTAGTATACGAAGCTGTCGTACCTCGGGGTCTATTCAGACTCACCACCGCGATGAACGGGTGTTTAGTATCGATATCCAGCACATTCCCGCTTGCTGGGATGTACAGCTAGCCAATGCAACAGCTCTCATTCGCCAAAGACATTCCCCACGCTCCGCGTTTATGGATGAAGCTGTCATCGCCGTTTCAAAATAGCCGACATTGTCTCTTACACATAAATGACTGCGCTGTACATGTAGTGCATCACACGCATGCATCAGCAATCTGCTGTAGATCTACAGACATGTCGACAGTGCATGCAGCGAGCCGAGCATGCGCACTTGACTAGGGTACTTGACTCCCACGCGCGATCGCTGGTCACAACTGTGAACTGAGTCTGTACACGCGACTGTGCTCGTGTCGTTGTGACTTGCAAGTGCACTCTGTACTGCACTGATGTACTGTATGACTAGTCGACTGGACAGGAACAATGCAAGTGCAGTTTTCAGTGCGTGGACTCGGCTACTAAAACATTTTGTGGAAGCAAACATGCCTTCTTTATGATCTTGGTCATTTTTCTCAATCGACTCTGCGCATCCAGCTAGATGTGTCCGTGGGGTATTGCCCAACTAGAACTGTAGTCCTCACATGCCCCAGGTCGTGAGGAGCTAATCACTTTTGTCAGCAGAACTGATGCTCGGGACTCGACACATTTATTCCGTCCGATGTCATCCCGGCTGCAAGTGGGGAGCTTCATGCCCACGATAAAAGAGAACGTCATGACATTTTTCTCAATCGACTCTGCGCTTCCAGCTAGATGTGTCCGTGGGGTATTGCCCAACTAGAACTGTAGTCCTCACATGCCCCAGGTCGCGAGGAGCTAATCACTTTTGTCAGCAGAACTCCTGCTCGGGACTCGACACATTTATTCCGTCCGATGTCATCTCCGCTGCGAGTGGGGAGCTTCATGCCCACGATAAAAGAGAACGTCATGATATATTTTGAATCCTTCATCAGAGAAAGCTATTCGAGCTCAAAACGACACAAGACAATGGCCATGATAAAGATACTCGTACAGATCGCGATGTGACTGGCCTCCAAAAGTGCTGCAAAAGACTTGAAGTATTTTTCAAAACAAGATTGTGAAAAAAAAGGTGAGCGCTCGAGTGCGGCGAACACGGCCAAACGCCATGTTTCCTTGGTAACATGACGTCAGCCACATTATCACCATCGCGAGTTGCAGCGCTGATCTTGAAGTACAGCGGCACCAGAAAAGTGTCCTTATTCTACCTGAGAACAAGAGAGTACCGTATTTCCGGAATATAAGCCGCACAGGAGTGTAAGCCGCACCAAGATTTTGTCACGAAATACAGACATCCACCCTGTTTATCACCGATTATTTGACCATCGTAGTCTAAGCTGCACCGACTGTTTTTGGGTGAGTTAATGGTGTTTAAAGGGCGGCTTATACTCCAGAAAATACGGTAGATGTGATGATGTCATTTTCATCACATCTATCAGTTATGATGTGTATGTTGTGAAGGATACAAGAGTGTGAAACTCCGCAGCTCATCCGGTTCATGGCGGAATTTTTGGTGGAGGCCGTCTTTTCAGGACACATCACATGGCAAAAGCCATGGAAAGACATACAAAACACGCACAAAGTATGAACTGATGCCAACCTTCATCGTGAGTTAGTGTTCTCGCTACGTTAAAGGGGAAGTTAAGGCAAAAATCAAAATTTCACCAGTTATAGTCTTCAGGGTGCTGAGTCGAATGGTCTTGGTTCGAGAAAGCTGAGACGCTCCCTTCCTCCTTTATTCCCAATCAAACTCGTGCACTTCCACCGAAACTGGGTGACTGCGCCCTACTAGATGGGGATTTGTATGCAAAATGTCACTAAAAGCGCCATTTCGTTCTTATAAAAGCACGGATGACCGCGATTGGCCCATATGTTGTAGTCTTTTGGACGCTGAGTAACCCAGTTTTGGTGGAAGTACGCGAGTTCGATTGGGATTCAAGTAGGAAGGGAGCGTCTCAGCTTTCTCGGACCAAGACCATTCGACTCAGCACCCCGAAGACTACAACTGGTGAAATTTTAATTTTTGCCTTAACTTCCCCTTTAAAGGGGAAGTATACCCTAAAATCAAATTTTCACCAGTTGTAGTCTTCGGGGTGCTGAGTCGAATGGTCTTGGTCCGAGGAAGCTGCGACGCTCCCTTCCTACTTGAATCCCAATCGAACTCGCGCACTTCCACCGAAACTGGGTGACTGCGCCCTACTAGATGGGGATTTGTATGCAAAATGTCACTAAAAGCGCCATTTCGTTCTTATAAAAGCACGGATGACCGCGATTGGCCCATATGTTGTACTCATTTGGACGCTGAGTTGACTGGTTTTGGTCTGAAAAGGCTGCGATGCAGCGTTCCTCCTTTATTCCCAATCGAACATGGTTGAACAAGCGGTCACGTGCTCCTGGGTGCCCAAATCACCTGGTCACCGCGCCAGCAGGCGACAACTTTCACACCAAGGTTCAACTCGAGTTCAACTCGAGTGACAGAACTGCACCCAAAAAAGGTCAAACAGGCTAATAAGTTGTACCCTGCAGGCACGGTGACCAGGTGACTGGTGTACGCAGGAGCACGTGATCGCTTGATCAACCATGTTCGATTGGGAATAAAGGAGGAACGCTGCATCGCAGCCTTTTCGGACCAAAACCAGTCGACTCAGCGTCCAAAAGACTACAACATATGGGCCAATCGCGGTCATCCGTGCTTTTATAAGAACGAAATGGCGCTTTTAGTGACATTTTGCATACAAATCCCCATCTAGTAGGGCGCAGTCACCCAGTTTCGGTGGAAGTGCGCGAGTTTGATTGGGAATAAAGGAGGAAGGGAGCGTCTCAGCTTCCTCAGACCAAGACAATTCGACTCCGCACCCCGAAGACTACAACTGGTGAAAATTTGATTTTAGGGTATACTTCCCCTTTAACAATTTTTTATAACTTTTATTCCGCCACTTTAACCTTTGAACTCGTAGTGCAGATGAAGTGAAACTTGACCCGGTCCACATGGCCACAAACTCTTTCTTAGTCCATTTCTTGTACAGTAGGACTCACAATCTCCTGAAAAGTCGATGTCAACTAAAATTCTGCTGTGGGCCAAACCTCGCAGAGTTACACATTCTCTTTTCTGTATCCTTGTAACAATTCCCATACCTGTAGTGAAGAGACTGTCAAACTAACGTCTTCGCATCTGTAGGAACAGTCTGACCCTTTGTCTGGTTTTCTTTCGGCATTTGGCGGCTATAGCAAAATTAGAAGTGAAGGAGTGGAAATACGTGAAACATCTCTTCTGACGTAACGTGCCTACTTATTTTCAAGTAGATACATCATGCCATGATCGCCTCCCCGCGGGGTTTTCCTGCTGTGCAGCTGTATCGAGGCCATCAGTAGTTTGTGCAAGTTACTCACCGTCGCTGGTGAGGTTTTTCTTGGTACAACAACATCCACAGTTACTCTGTACATGCACAAACCACAGATGAACACACACACAAAGCTGTGACTGGTCTGGAGCAGGAGGCAGATTTAAAAGTAGAAAAGGGAACAGGCAATGAGAGAATATACATTGACAACTAAATACAGGGGCAAAGGGAGAGAAAGAGAGAGAGAGAGAGAGGGGGGGGGGGGAGAAAGACTTGAGTGATTGATATTGAAAACATTGACGTTTCCAGGAGTGCCTTCTTCAGAGTGATAATGACCATTTCTGGTGTGTCGTCGTGTGGATAATCAAGCTCTTGTTTATCCCATTCATTGCTCATCACATACTATTAGGTGATTTCAGATGACGCCGAGGCTCTGAGCCCGTATTATTACGTGATGAGTGTACATCACGCATTGATGAGAATTTACATGACGCGTGTACGTTCAAATGTTCGTAACTTCGTCATTCCTTTCTTGATTCTCAAAATCGAAATACTTAGGAGGAGAAAACTCTCAGCTTGTGATTGCAACAATTGCCGAAGTAGTATGATCAACAATCGTTAGATTATGGCACTCAACGGACACACATATGGGCACGCGCTCAAAGACGTTTTCTACGCAATTGCGGGCACTTGACTTCCTTTTTTCTGAGCATTTTTCCGCTTGGTGCCACGACAATTTCAGTGTAATTATAGTGAACAGGGGTCTCGCAGGCGTGTTCAAAATAATTTGAGTTCCATACAGGCAAGGAGAGCTGAATAGCGGCTTAAAGAACTTTTCTTTGACTTCCACAACTGCCCTACGTCTTTGGACGAAATAAACATGGATCTAAAGCGGTCTCCAATCTCACGAAGGCTGGTGCTTCAGGACCTTTATGTGCGGCGTGTTTTCAGAAAAAACCAATAGTCCGTTTTCGCTGGTTCTTAGGGTGCCCTGCCGGTAGTACCCCGCAGCAGTCAAAGGGTCAGGCTAACTGACAGACAGACAGACAACAGACAAATGGACAATGGGACGGATGAGAAAGCCAGACAGATGAACCCCAGGCAAGTTGCATTTCATTGAGTGGATTTCTTTACACAGAAAACGGCTACGAGAATATTATCAAAACATGTTTCCATACGCTACAACTTACTCTTGCCCCTGATCAAGATTCAGTGGAAACTCTCGAGCACGTGCTAAAGGTCCAGAAGCACGATCATACACAAACATACGCAACCATTCACACGCATACACCCAAACCCACCACACAAACACACACACACGAGCGCACACACATGCACACACACACACACACACACACACACACGCACACACACGCGCACACACACAAACACACACAAACAAACATAATTCATAGTCACAAAAATAATAATGGAGTAGACTGCTAGCTGTGTGGAGATTGAGTATTTTGAAGTCACCAGGAACATAGAGTCGTCAGTAACAAGAAGCAGTACACTGTCAGGGATCACCACTACCGTTCAAAATTCAATTTACGTGGACTACCATTTTTGAGAAAGGGCGATGCCCACTGGAAAGCTCTGAGCCATTCATATCAATATTCTACACCAAGGTAAACAGAAGCTGAAGTGTTGCTTTCCAAGTCTTACTTTAAAAAATACAAGGAAAGAGTTATGAACAAACCTGGAATGGCATTGTTAGCCAAAACATTCAACTGGTATGCCAATGGACGTAGCTGAGGTATTTCTGACATCCCGCTGAGAACGGTATCAAAAGAGTCATTTCCATATATCCTCAGTTGTTCCAGCAGGTCAGCAGATGAAGCCTGAAGATCGGATCGGTTGAGAATGCCAGCTCGCAGAGCTATGTTGCGCAATGAATCCAGAGGAAGCTGTGTTTCCAACGTGTCTGTGGCCTAGAAACCAGCATTTCGAATGCAACACATGTACAGAACATAACAAACGTTAGGACCAGTGATAACGGCACCTAATAAATTGATTTGATTCCCGGTACATTTCGCAGTTTCATGCATGGTTCATACTGTTGTATCATCTGTGTCATGCCTGTCATGATTGTCTGAAGCTATTGTCTGTGTTGTGGTTGACTTCACTCTTTAGTACTATTGACTGGCCTTTCGCACAATACCTATTGACGTCTAGAGACATACTGTCTAGCCTTCCCCTCGTGCGCTTATTGATACACTATCCAGCTGTCCAGTGGCTCTCCTTCTACCGCTCTCTATCTCGCTATACTCTTCTTCACACTCTATAAGTTCGTGTCTTCTTTACAATAAAGTCAGTTCAGTGACTGACGAGTTCGAGATCACAACACATACTCCAAAAGTCGCGATTAGGGCCCTCTCTTGAATAGTGCTCTACCTCGAATAGTGCCCCAGTCTCTAAGAGCCAGGGGAAACAGCCCTCTCTTGAATAGCGACCCCCCCCCCAGGCTTGTAACCAAGTGCATGTGCAAGTTCGGTGTTCTGTTGCTAATGTCCTTGTCCATGTCATTGCACTAGTGGTTTCTGGATCAAAATCGCAGTTCTTGTTGCCATCTCCGTCGAGTTTTGATAGTTTCCAGTACATTTTAGGCTCTGTTTTTCTTTCAAGCGGCCCTCTTTGTTTTTATGCTGGATGATGTAAATGCACCAGCATTGTAACAAATGGTGCCTTCTCTTGAATAGTGCCCCATCTGTGATGAACATGGAAGAAATAGTGCCCCAGGGGCACTAATCGCGCAAGTACGGTATGCTATTCCGGGTTTGTGCAAAGCTATGAGTCACATATTCCAGCATTTCAAAAGGATCTTAGCCCGTACCATGACGTGTTTTAAGTCCTGAGTACATTGGTGAGTATTTAAAGGATGAGCGTAATGATGATCTTAGCTTCACAAATTCGTGCACGGGCTGAACACGAGACAGGTACTTCTCGCTTCACATATACTGGCATGCACAGAGATATAGACAGCAATAGCGACAACACACAAAGTGAAGGGTAGTTGGCCGCAGCCAGATGTGAATCGGATAACGAGTGAGGTATGGAAGCAAGGACTGAGAACAGAGTGTCTCAGACAGAATAGGCGTGCCAGTGGATAGCATAAATAGGCCATGATGCAGAACCACTTGGGACCGTCAGATTAATTTTCCTGGACCGAGCCAGCCGGGAAAAAACCCTCGCACCGACGGACGCATTTGTGAGGGAAAAAACCGGGGGTATATCCCAATGGCGATTAGGCATCATGTAGGCATGGCAGGCACATCACGGCAAACAGTGATAAAAAGCAATGATAATATGCACAGAAATGAAGGGTGGGAGGGCAGGGACACTGGTGAGACTCAAAACTGACTGAAGAAGTCAGGAAAAGAAGCGACAATAAAGAACACACCAGATGCCATATTTCCAACTGAAAATATTTCGCGAGAAACACAACTTACTAGTCGCCAAAGCTGAACTTCGCTTTCTGCATATGGTCTCTCATCACGGGCGATCAAACTGCTGGAAGTAGATGGTACAGCTCGACCAGCACACGAATCAGGATCCCTCAGAAGCTTCCTGATGCACGGAAGAACAGCAGACAAATATACTTTGTTGGGAGAGAGCTTCACAAACACACAGGGCCCGTGCCACACCACTAAATTACAACTGTGGAAGTGCGACTGTATCGGAAGATCTCCACACTTGAGATACGTTTACTGCAGGCGGCGAAAGGATTCAACAGAGTTCACAGTTGCATGTTCATGTGCTTCAATTTTCATCAGCAGTTACACCACTGGAAAATGCTGAAAATGTTTGAAAACCATTTTGTCCTACATATTTCAATATTTCGTTTTCTCCAGAAGACTGGGAAATAGTCAGGTTAACATCGTTGAGAGTATACATTGATCAACACTGATCGATCAATGTATGGTCAGTCCATAAAAGGATACTTTTGGTGAAAGCACTGCATCTCATTCTCACCCCCCTCCTCAAAACTGCTGACTGTCCCTTACCGTTCTTTTTCATGGAATACTTCTTTAAATCGATCTGGACGTGAAGAAGAATCAAGAAAAGACCAACAGGAATCTACACAACACACTTCCTCCACAATTTTGACAGATGCATGGGCACTACATTGCCTCGATTCGACAAAATATTTTTCACATACTACTCTATGAACACTTCCAGGCAAGCAGTGAAGCACACATCGATGCTGCAAAAAACAAGTTCACTAAATGTCCACCACACAGCGTCATCTTCAACAATGTGAAAAACTATTCATGAGAATGGAGCATCAAATAATGCAGCTGTGACACTGGCAGTTGCTGTCTCATTTGCGACGCAGTACGAGCAAAAATATCTTTTAAAAAGTCTTGGCAAAGAAATAGAAAATGTACTTCCTCAGCATCATCAAAATTGTCGCACTTTGACTAGTGACTTGTTGCTGACAACTCCATAAGCTAAGCCATTCAAAACATATTACACAGTATGATAGTCTTAAGACAAGAGTAACGTTCCAGGACAGTTGGACTGAGAGTTTTCATGCAGAGATGAAGTCCTCGTCGTCGCTGATGTCAATGGACGCAAAAATATCGTTCCGAAATATTTCAAGGAAGGTTGAAAGTTGGTCGCGCCTCATGTCACACGCTTTGACTTTCTCCACAGGACAAGAGCTGCTATGCTTGTCATCTGCTAGCTCTGGATGATTTCTACTTCACCACCAACGAAGCCTACAGTACGTTTTTTTATAATAGACTCTGAAATCCTTGAGAACGTACTCAAGGCCACTTTTGAGAAAATGTCATGCGAGTTGCGTCACGAAAATCTGCGCGCGAAATTCGAAAACCAGGTGTGACTCGTGGCATTTCGCCATTTTGTTCAGAGTGTCCTTCGAGCTAGCTCCTCGTGGCTGGAGGAATCATTTTGTTGCTGACTGCTCTGTGGCCCTATTTTGCTTTTTCTCGAGTGTCTTTTCGTTCGTGGCAACTTGTTCTCTCGACATGCCACATATAACAAAGCGCGAACGGGCCATGGTAGAATCTACATGGTGGTGTCTGTTTTACAATTTTTGCGAAGACGAGGAGAACAATGGCTGGGCATCGAATTGGTCCCGAGTATTCCATTCGTCATGCTGCTGTTGCGTGTGGCGTCAGCATTTCCACCATGAACAGATGTACCAGGGATGCTGACGGCGAAAATCAGCGTGCTGCGTTGGCCTTGTCTGTCTCCAGTGATGAAGGTAACGAGAGTGACAATCCCCAATGTGAGACTCGTGCCATAAACATGATAAAACCACTCAACCCTGACGGATTTGCTTTGGACTGTATAAGAAGTAATTTACGGATTCTATGCTGCGAAGGAGCACCCAACACTGGACAAAGTTCCTGCTCGCTGCATAGAAAGGTTCGACGATTTTCCAGACATGAGCAAAACTAGCTCTTGGAAAATGTTGCGTTCCATGGGATTCCAGTGTGGCAAGACCAGAGGTATCACACACATGATGATGGAACGGCTCGGGATTGTGTCATGGCGGCATCCCTACCTGTGAGACATACGTGGATGCCTGGATGACACGTGGGTCAATGCGCGTCACACAGTTACTAGGAGGTGGTCCGACAATGGTGACAGGAGTGTATAGGCAAGCAACCAAATGAAGCTCCATCAGGTAAAGGCAAGCGCTTTATTGTTCTGCATATACTGGTGGACGGGACGGATTCGTGAAAAACTGCGCCGATGTGTTCGTGACTGGAGACCAACGAGGCCGACGCCAACAATGATATACGTCGTCGGCTGTCCTAGCACATCTGTTCACTGTGTAATACTGTCGTCACAAGTGCAACACAAAACACGGAATTATTGGGGCCGTTTCGACGCTCGCTGGTCTTCTACTATTCGCAGATGTTGAACCAGACACAACTGTGACCTATTTGCATTGTGTGTGTGTGTGTGTGTGTGTGTTTGTGTGTTTGTAAAACCGCTCATGTATTGCTTCCTTTTAGTCTCTTTATGGGTGCTGTGTGAATTGCCCTTGTGATTTGTTGTGGTGTTTGAATTTTCACTGCATTCTTTCAGGGATCGAGGGAAGTTTCCTACATGCATGCTGGAATGTTTTGATTTATTGAGCTAATTGCAATACAGCATTTGAATTAATTCAATTATTCAGTACAGTTTGCCACAGTAAGTCGTGAAAAGCCACGACTCACTGGTTTTCTACAAAGGTTAGGTCTTAGGAGAACTGCAGACAGCAGTGCACAACTGCACAGTCATGTACATGTACATAATATGCATGCGTTGTACCGAAAAAGAAGAGAAAAAAAGAATCAAGATGAACTGTACTGGATTCGAACTCTGGCGAACACCATGCACGTGATGAGCTTTCCTGGCTAAAACTTTCGTTTTAAAATCAAAATCCACTGAAAACCGTTTAAAACCGGATTTTCAGCCAAAACCCGTCCGAATATCTAACTTTGACAATTATTATTATTCCGATTTCCAAACTTAATTTTCTTCGATCCAACACCCACACAAACGCGGCTGTGAAGAAAAAATTTCAAATTTGGAATGAGAACAAACTAAAAAATCAAAATCGACAAATGTCTGTTTTAAAAAAACGCACTGTAGTAAGAATACACGATCGTTGCGAGGTCGGTTGATTACCGTCGGCGGAATCACCTCGATCTTGAAATGAACTCTTTTTAGCCGTGGCATGCCCATATATTTTAGCTGTGTGGTCACAGCTCATGCAGGTAAGTGTACTATCACGTCCAGCGCGCCCTCCTTTTCAGCATCACTGGTATACCATGGTATGGCACCTGCGCGTGCATCACTAGCACTACGTGTAGAATCTACACAGCTCTCGCAGGTACAATCATGTACTGAGTGTCTCAGCTAGAGCGACAAATTGTATCGTTGTTGCAGGCATTTAGTTTGCTGACCCCTCGATGTTTCTCCAAGCGCTGCCACTTTCTCCATGAAGTCATTCTCACTCCAGCTAAGGTAAAAAAGTGATGAGGCTTGAGTGAATGGCCATAAGCATGAGAAATGTGCAGTTTGCAACGCCTGACTGATCTCAACGAGTCGAAATTACCATCGCAGCGACATCAGCGAAGAAATTGCGTCTAGTTCAAAAATTCCAGCTTCCAATAACAGAAAATAGAACTTTGCCGTCACCCTATACTGATGACTATCGCCTATGTCCGATTCCTTGCCTGTGGTACGAGTGCTGGTGAGTAAATACCCCGTTCTATATCAAAAGTCAAACTGCGACAATTTCGATGACGCGGAGGAAGTAGTAAACTTAGCACCACCAAAAGCAAATGTTTCAGTTACACAATCATATTGACAAATCCTTCTACGTACCAATGATGTCTTTGGCGAGGGTACGATAGGCACCACGTTCATCATACAAGGCCTGCAGTAAGCAAATGCAGGTCAGGTTACCATGTGGTCTGAGATGAGAGAGTAGTTTGTCAGCCTGATCAGGTCTCTCTCGAACCATTGACCGTGTGCTGAGCGATTCGTACTCCAACTGAGAGAACAGACCACCATTCATCTCTTGAAGGCGACGTGTAAGGACAGTGGGGTCAACAAAACTGCAGAACTGCACAGTGAACGACCTCATTACCTGTTATGAAGAAGACAGGAAAAACATGACAAGAAAAGCACAAAGTGTGTAAGAAACGAGACAACTTACTAAATCCAAATGAGGAACATGTTATTCAACATATTGAGATCGAGTGTTAATCGAGAAAGGTTTGAAGAGTCTAGTCTAATACAGCATGAGCACATGAATTACACGTGATCTAGTAGAACTCTACACAGAATATACTGTCGCGGACATGGAAATCCAGTCGATTGACCGGGGCCTGCGTCCTCAGCGCGTAGAGAACGTAAATCGTTGCATGCAATGCTAGTGCACAATCATGTTGATCGGATACGATGCGACCAGCAGCATGCAGCACATAACACGTGCTACGGCTGCATGGCCAGCGCCCTGGGGCCGCTAGACGTGCGACCGGATTTCCATGTCCACAACAGTAGCATGATTAGCTCTTTCTTAAACAGACATGCACACATACCTCCTTCCACAGATCAATCTCTATCCCCGTGCTGGCGCACTGCTCAGTGACAATCTCCCGCACGTTGATGTCAGATGGGCTGCGGGTGATGTCGCTGCTAGTAGTAGCCAAAGTGTATGGCCGGGACGCGGACGCACTTTGCGCTGTGCTTATCAGTGCCCGCTCAAGATTATCCAGCTCCACGCTAGACTCCGCTGCTTCTGCATACGTCCCGTGAACAATAGTCACCTGTGTGCTTGTTCTGAATGGAGCAACATGTTTTGAAAAATCATACAACCGAGATGCTGAGCATTAAATTGAGTATTTCCAAACGAGAGATGAGCAATACATTCTGGAGGATCCTGTAGAACAAAGGTTTGTTTTAGATGACACACACACACACACATACAAACAGAAATACAGAATACTTACTCGGCCATGCTGCCTTTGAAGAGAGATAGGTTGTCAGCAGTCATGTCTGTACGGATCAAAAGATTGAGAAAATATAGGTTTGATACAATGATACAGCCACAGGGAAAACTGAGGGCCACATCTAACACAGGGCATGCGGAAGCAGCTTTTGACTAGTCCAGCCATACCAACAAAAGTCTTTCATACTTTGTGTGTAAATAATGACATCACATGCCATATCTACGGCCATTCCCAACAAAATGTATGTGATTCGGAGTTAGGGACATTTCAAAGTTACGGGCAGTACCCGGTCCCGAACCGCCCGGATAAACGAGGCGGGAGAGTATTTACCGGATTGCACGTCACACTGGATTAGGTTGCACTCACAGTTTCAGGTCTGAGCCATAAGTAGGAAATCATGCTCGATTGAAAGTCACAGCCCTTCTTTGACCTTAGAGGTTACCGTATTATCTCTAATATAAGCACGGTCCTTTATTTTTTCAATGTACCTCCGCCCCGTGCTATTAATGGAGACGGTCCTTTATTGGAGACTGTTCCATTATTATTTCAACCTCATTTCAGAGGCATGTTGCCATGCCAAATTCATGTCAGAGACACATATTTCAGGTTTTTTTTCGCCGGTACAGATAATGAATTTACACAGTGTGCTTATAATGGAGACTGAGCACTTTATTTTTTGAATGCCGCCCCAAGGTGTTCTATTATTGGAGACGTGCTATTATTGGAGACTGTGCTTATTATATATATTAGAGATAATACGGTAAATGGAAAAAGTTGTGACTCATACTCAGGGAAATACAATAGTATGGAGAAGCTAAGAATGAGTGGGAGTTTCCCAGCACAATACACATACATCTCTATTAGTCTTATCCGGAACTCGAAATAACGGTCACCTCGATCTACTGTGCACCCAGAGTTTTAGTTGAAATATTACTACTCTTTTGCCAACTTTGTGGAAATAGAGACGTCATATGCCATATGTCTGGTCCTTCCTCATTGAAACGTATGTGATTCAGAACAATTGGCACAATTTGATGCCAGGGGCAGTGCCCAGTCCCGAACCACCCGGATAAGCGTGATAATTATGAGTGCATTCCATACTATTCACCAATAAGAAAATCCATAACCTGTCGATGGAGACATTAAGCCGGTGAGCCGGAAGATGAATGCATGCACGTTTGAAAATTACGGATGACGGCTTGCTCACCAGACACAGGGCAAGTAGCAGCTGAGGCTTCAGGGTCTTGGTCGGGCAATGACGTCATACGAAAACTATCGTCATGTACTCTTCCTTCAGAGGTTTGATGTGGGGACTGTGAACAATGGAGAAAAATCAAACGCAAACAAGTCCAACGGGTCGATGAGTACCTTCATTCTTAAAAGGTATTACAGCAACATGAAGTTGGCGGTGAATCAAGTACTCTTTTAAAATGACTTCAGCAGTATGGGAGTGCAGGTTCACGCAACGTGGTGCTTTAATTAGTTAGCACTGAGTACAAAAGCGCTTTCAGGGCTAATCATGGTTTGTTTGGTTGCTTTAGGTTGTTGCCTCAACAGCACAATGTACAACTTGAAAGAGGTTCGAACAGCACACAAACTAACATGAGGAATGCTGCATGTTCTCTTTCATAGCATTCCCTTCGAAACGCAATAGTTCATCCAATAGCAGTCAGGCTTACGAGACTGACGTACTGATGTGCTCCCTCGCTGCACTGAGGACGCAGCAGGCTTTCTAAAAAAAACTCAGGATCGACTCGTTTCACCGCCAATGATTCTTGAGGAACTCAATGTGATGCCAGCTGTATTCTCCGAAATCCTTTTGTGTCGCGAAAACGCCGGCTGCAGTGAGCTAGCAATCGAGCCAATCAGCTGATACCATTGAGTGTGATCACACTCTGGCTACGGAATTAGCACAAGACAGGTCTGTATTTTCAACACCTATTTAATGCTCTCTGCTGATACAGTATATACGTTGAAGAACTGCAAAGAGAAATTTCAAGATTACGTTACCATTGATGGTCTGTGCTGTACTGGCATCACCATCACTGAGTTGCTACTCACAATACGGTGATGCTGGTCACATGACTACTAGTACATGTATTATACTTCCGCAAATGCATATTCTGTCACTCACGTTCCCATGCATTTCCTGTACCAGTCGATGTGCATGCCTGCATGTGGTACTTGTGGTTCTCTGGTTCACTTTCTTCAACGATTACTACCTGTACAGCCATGGTTACACTATTTCCTTGGAGTATACGAGCTGGATATGCAAACAAGCAAAGTTTCTGTGTGTGCGTGTGTAAGGGGGGGGGGGGGGCGTGATCCGCGAACGAGCTTAGTTTCTCTGTATGTGCGTGTGTTGGGGGGGGGGGGGGGGCTGGGGTGGATGTGTGACAGAGACGAATTTCTTTGTGCGTGTGTTTGTTTGTGCAAACGAGATGAGTTTCCGTGTCCGTGCTGTCTGAGGGGTGGGGGTTGATGAGTAAACAAGGTGAGTTTCTGCCGACCGAGCTAAACGAGTTGCTCGGTCATTTTTTCAACATCATTGCTTACCTCCTCTTCTTTCCTCCTCCGCTTTCTGTGATTGCCTCCGTAACTTGGAGTCGCCATGCTTTCCTCGCATCCGTTGGACCGTTCGTAAGGTGAGACGCAGCTTCTGCCGTCTCAATCTAATGACACTGCGATACTTTCCTGTGCCAAGGGAATTCGAATTTTGCTGAAAAGGAGATTGAGAGTGCCAAGTTTTATCCACCTATAAGATCACATCAAAAGTGGTAAGTACATATTAGTGACAGCTACAGTCTGACCTCGCATAACCGCACACCTTCGTTTTCCAAAAAATACCCGTATTGGCGAGGGAACCGGATATCGTATTTCCTCGATTAATAGACCCGGTCTTTTGATTTTTGAAGAGGGTTGGACCCCCGGTCTCTTATTTTGGGCATGGTCTATTATTTGAGCACGGCCCACTATTCTCATCGGCACATCGCTGGAAATGGTGGATTTTCAACACGTCATAATAGAAGTTCTATATTATGACGTGTTAAAAATCCACCATTTCCAGCGATGTGCCGATGAAAATATAGTGGACCGTGCTCATATAATGAAAGAAAGCACTAGCCACTACAAAAATTGTAGTTGCGCAACCTAAAATCACGTCCTTTTTTGATCCACCACGTGTTTTCTTAGTGCGCATGCGCAAAACGATGAACTCAAATAAGAGACCGGGTCTCTTATTCGGGCATGGTCTAATATTTTTCCGTGAGGCCTCTCGGAGGGTCTACTATTGGAGCATGGTCTATTATTCGAGCATGGTCCATTAATCGAGGAAATACGGTAATCGAACAACCATACCGTATGTATGGCATATGCTGTAAATCGGTTACCAACGATTTTCTTCCGGATGGCGAGGGATCCGGATAAAAGAGGACCGGATAAGTGAGGTCTGACTGCACTTCAAAGTACATAAATGTTGAAAGTTGGGAACATAATCATACTCATTATTCATTTACAATAACACTGGGATCACTTTTCTACAGTGCTGATCAATGAAATCTGATGAGGCGAGTCAATGTCACGCTGCGGGCTGAGCAGACCCAGACATGCGAACACTGGGGTGTGAAGTGGTGCAGGGTGAAAACTTGATTCAGGTGATTGGATTTCATTCAGCAGCAATGTACAAGCACAATCATCAAAGTAGTAAGATTTCTGTTGAGATTTTCTCTGCGCTGAACAAGGAAGTATTTTTTCAACGTGGTCACCTAGAATTGATCATGGTATTATTTTTATATTGAACCAAAAAAATGGAAGAAGACGGTCAACAATTTGACAATTTCCCATTGCCGAAATGCAATTTGAAAAATCAATTTGTGGTTGGCAATCACCCACTTGGCAGGTGTTTCCACCGAGTCTTGAGATGTTGTAATAAATATATATAAATATATATAAATTTGTGTCGTACCAAATCATCACCTCCTGCCAGAGGTAATAATTCGTCCTCTTCCAATACCGCAACTGTGGCCACAGTCAGAATGTATCGACCATCAAAGCAACAACAAGGCATTGTTAACGATAACTGAGTGTGCCATGGAACGAGCACCTCAGACCCTGGAATTTAATGGTAGATGATCTCTACTCAAAATTGTTACCGTCAACTATCATGCTTCTATAAGGGATCTCAAATAATTGCCCAGGCATTGCTCTAACTACTTACTAGACACAACACTGCAAAAATACCTCTGTCAAAAATCGTTATCCATGACAGAGTAATGCCTGGTTAATAACTGTATTACCACATTTGCCAGGGTGCTTAGACTCCGAATGCTGGACGCGTATCTACCAGCGCTACAACGCTACAGCTCTTCATGAATATATTCTACGTGTGATGTCATTCAACTCCTTTCCACGCAGTTCAACCCATCATTGCGCTAGCGCAAAGCTCTTAACTTATAAGTTCAGAGTGAACGACAAACTACTAGGCTTTTGTAACACGGAAAAAATGTGGACACAAGTTATGCGGTCGAGTCCGTCAACTTAACCATATTGTGCACGTCTGACTGTTCAAATCTGGTCTATTTGGTGGACTTGAGTCACTTGATCGCATAACTTGTGCCCACATTTTTTCCATGTTACAATGTTTTCCTTGGCTCACCATCTGAGTTCTTAATACTAGGCTTTTGTTAGAAATTCAGTCGTGCTTCTCGAAAACTTTTAACCAATGGTAACGTCTAGTATGTGCCGGTACCCATCGGTTGCCAAGAAATTCAACGTCTGACTTGCGGCTTATACTTCGAATGTCAACAAAAATCCGAATTTTGGGTCCGGAAATGGGAGTGCAGCTTAGACCGTGGTGCGGCTAACACACAGGAAAGTATGATACATCTCTCAATGCAATACATTCAACTTCCAAAGATGCTTTCCTCAACATTGCGTGCTGCCCTACATAAACTGCCTTTTTGGGACGTGCAGCGTGAAGGTTCAAATAATTTTTTGATATAAACTGCTTTGCACGATATGAAAATTCGAGTCTCTCAAACATTATGATGCTTGTAACCTTTCTCCCACGACTATTTTTATGTCCATATTCGGGTAATCGTGTAGTTTAAGGTCCCAAATTATTTCGCACTTTCCCAGTGTTCTATGTACTTTCTGTGTACGTGAGAGCGTGTCAACCCCAGAAATTTGCAAATCGAGATCAAAAACCCAGTAGCTGTTGATATGGATTTTTTTCATCAGAACCGATCAGACAGGGTACTACTGCTGATGAATGCTGCGGAGCAGGGAGGCGAACTTTGAAGGTGTTTCGTTCCTCTCGAACTCTTTGCCTCCACACGAACTCGCAGAGGTACTGAGGTTGGAAACAACTCGCGAGACGTGCCGAAGTTGCGTTTGAGCTGGCGCTTCACACGCATCCACATATTCTCGACATTGTTGGTATGGACGACACACACACAGTGGTCGTCATGTACGATTACATCGTGGAGGTATAATTATACCGTCGCCAATGTTTCCAAGTTGGCCGTACGCGGCCCAGCCATTACCACAAAGTCAAAGGAAACAACTCTAAGGACACACAACTTCGAAACACACTCAAGCACGCTCTCAAGTACACAGAACACTGGGAAAGTGCGAAATAATTAATATTTTAGGTCCCTAAACTACACACAGATTACCCATATTCGTCTCTTCTCCTTTCCTTATCTCTCTTTCCTGCCGTGTTCGGCTAAGTATCAGCCTTTTTTCTGATCATCCTGGCATTGGCAGTCTCTTCCATGTAGATCTACCATGCAAACAACCTAAAAACGACAGAAATCGAGGCTACTTCCTTACCGTAAGCTCGGCCCAGCAGATTTGGAGCGTGGTTGAGTTTTCAGTCGACTGCTAGTAGCGGCGGTAGTTCTCACCAGAGTCACTCGCTGTTGTTTGCTGCTCCAGAGCCAAGTACAAGCCCATAAAGTGCTTGCGCCGATCCGAAATGCAATGGACCACACTGGGCTTTTTCCGGCCCCTAAGGTTCGTGCTAGATATTGTAGAGGCAGGAACAACAAATACTTCGCTTTCCTACGACACAATTAAACTAGTGGATAGCAGTAAACCATCACATAGCTAGCCTACATTGAAACACGAACACCAAAGAAATCGAAATGTTGCTAACGACGGAGGATAGGCGCAGTACGTCGGAGCAGTACTGCATCGTAGTCCACAGACACAGGCACAGGCACAGCCACAGGCACAGGCTCAGTCTGAGCTCCATGATTTTGGACTCCATGTACCAGATGTACCATTGTGTACTACCGTACTGGCAATATATGTTGCCGCGTAACGCGTAACGCAGGGGGGTGCGGCGTAACGCGCGACCAGGCTAGTGCGACAAATTTTCGTTGAGTTCGTAACGCGCGTCCGGCGGGGTGCGGCGATCTTTTCATTGCAGTTTGCACTGCAAAAAAAAGGCTGAAAACTGTGAAAGCACGTGTACCGCGTGGTGAAAAGTAGTTTTGGAGGAAGCGCTCTTCCCCTATGTCACTTTCCTTTTGATGATCTTTTTGTGAACAGATCACTCTGATAGTTAAAATATACAGTCTTCTATTAATATCGTTGTCGCCCTTTGCCGTCGGGTTTGTAACAGTTTGATAGTAACTGAATTTCTGTGCCTTCAATGTGGATGAAAAGAAAAAATGATGCGGCAAAAGCAAAAAAATGAGGCGGCAATAGCAAAAAGTGATACGGCAATAGCAAAAAAAGGACTGCGGCAATATAGAAACCTGTGTAACGGCTCCTGTGCGGCTTTGCATGTAACGCCCTGCGTGCGGCAAACATGTGCCAATGTAACGCTTCATGGCCTCACTGCGGCAACATATATTGCCAGTACGGTAGTAGATCTACATGATCAGATGTAGTAGAATCTACATGACTGCATGCATTGCCGGTCCGGCGTCGGCAGCTAGCGCCAAAAACAAACGGTCGCGCCCTACATGTAGGGCGTGACCGTTTCTTTTTTGGCGCTACACTACCGACTACACTACCTAGCTACACTACCATGACTACCGGTACCGACTGCACTCCTAGCTAGCGCACGCTAGCCGGAGTTCTACGTGTCCATGTACATGTACATGTACATGTACATAATACACACATGACTTGTACATGTACATGACATTGTACGAAAAGGGTCATGTACTGTACTACTACTGAGTACTAGTATAGTACAGTCAGGATCGCTGGCTTATTATTATTATTATTATTATTTTTTCTTATTTTGTTAGGGATTTCCCAACAGGCAATGTTGCCTTTTTACTGGGAACCCTAAATGAGACTTTGTGTGAGCGCGAAACAAAGCAGGCGACTCGGCCAGGCGACAAGATGGAGGCAGCGCATTCCATCTGTCGGCACCAAGATACGCAATGGAATGGAAACCATACCGGGAGTAGCAGGCTTGAAAGTGCTAGTCACAGCATAGCAACAATTTCAAAAATTCAAAAACTGGATCCGCTTGGATCCAGTTTTTGTATGGATCCAAGCACATTTCAAGCGGTCTTACCCACAGCATGGTGATGTAACCAGTGAAACTGACTGATTTGGCTTTTGTTGGCGGGGTTACCATGGTTACAACTGGTGGCGAAATAAAAGTCACACCTGCATGCGACATGAGTGGGTTGCTATGCACCCACATACTTAGGCAATAGCAAAGTCACACCTTAGTGGATCCAAAAATAGAAATCTGATGTCAACTTACTACTCCCTGGCCGTTTTGACGTCATCACTTTCAAGCCCTTATGCGTTGGTGTTTGATTTTGAGCATTTTATCACTATAGTATAAGCGATATTATTACTATGACCGATACTAGACTGCATGCAATGTATGCGAGTGGGGTGTCAAACGACTCAGCGCGCCGTACACAATCTGCACATACGCACTACATACATGTACAATGTCATGTAGCTGGCTGTAGCTCCTGATACAGAAAATCAGCATTTCCTCATGATGGAGGCATATTTTGGCAACTTGTACGAGCAAAACTCACCAAACAACACTCACTGGACAAGTTCTTCACGAAGAAGTAACACCCTGTTGAACTGTTCTCCTCTGACATCGCTTGATTTTACATCAATCATTATAACCGATGCGAAAATAATGTAATAAAGGTCATTTGAAATATGAATTTGATCACTATAGGCGATATATTACTATAGACGATTATTACTATACGCGATAACTGTGTATACTTAGTTATGGCAAATGAAAATGAATTTGAGAAATTGATCACTATATCCGGTATTATATTACTATACCCGCCAACCTTATAGGCGATACGGACTGTACTAGTGATGTAGATCTACCGACTGTAAAAACAGTCTATGGCAGTATGGATAATCTATGGTCCATGACCCATGAGTATGGCCTAGGCTATGGTATGGGCCTCTCGAATGATACTTTGTCAGTTTGTGAGCATGTGTTTGTCACTTCATTGCCAAGCTACGGCATTATCATGGCAACTGAAGAATGGCTGTGACGTGAGGTGCTGTGTTGACTGTTGTGTGGTGAGTGAGTGGACGGAGTGAATGCCTCAGGCCAGGGGCCTCTCGCGTAACTACTTCAAGTACTTGCCGTGCTACAGTAGAGTAGGGTCTAGCGGATAATGCCGGCATTATTATTGTATATTCGGCATTATACGACTATCCGAGCATGAGAGCATTATGAAGCATTAGAAAAGGAACAAAACGAGCATTATGTGAGGTTTGAGCGGCATAACGGGTTTCATAGTGGATAATATCGGGAAATCTCAGGTTTTGGCAACAATCGGCTACAATTATGATCATGAGATGTTGTCTGATGATTGGTTTTTGCCATGAAACTCTGAGTAACAACGAAACAGCCCTATTTTACTCCATTTGTGTACCTCTTGCGTACTACGCTCCGCCCATTCCGGGCATTTGAGCACTATGCATTGTACCGTACCGGTGCACGACTTTGTGATTGTGTAGACACGTAACACCTTTAGCACTAACAGCGCTACGTAACTATAATATTTCCGTCCTGATGGTTCGTGGGAGTCGCCGTGCATTCCGTGCACCTGGTCTGGCGGCGGATGTGGATGCTGTTTCTGTGGAGGCCCGCATTCCCGCCACTACGTGACGCTAAGTCCTCCTGGGGTTTGCCGCTCTCCGGTCCTCTTTCATCCCGTTCTCCCCTCTTTTTTGGGGATTCTTTGTACTTCGTCTTTCTTGTTTTTTTTGTTCCTTTGTTTTTTGTAGGACAGATTTTTGGTGTACTGATTTCGGTCGTTGTTGTGTCTGACTCTATTCCCAATATCTAATTCTGTGGTTGGTTTTCCAACTCATTGGGTTTTGTAGTTTCCATCATGAGTTTGATTCCATCGTGAGTTTGATTCCATCGTGAGTTTTGATTCTATTAATTTTGCTATTTTTCGTTCCATTTTTGAGCTCATATTTTATTTTCCTGATTTCTTCTCCAGTGTACATGTATGTTGTATTGCATTTTAATACATTGTGTTAATTTTTGCCCGTAAAAGAGGCTTGCACTCCATAAAAAAATAAAAATAAATAATAATAATAATTTGAAACTCGGATGTTGAGCCATAAATAAATGTAAAAGAGAAAAGGACATATGGATACGAGTTTAGAGTAACTCTCCATCACTGTAACATGATACTATATACAGTCAGAAAGTGCAATAACTAGGCACAAAACTGACAGAGTACTGAGACATTCGACGTCCTGACACCTAACTTTAACACATCTCCGTAGCGCTAACCGACAGCCTTCCAACTTGGAAGGTTCAAGGTTATGGAAAGACCAAAGAGGGGAAGGCAAGCGCAACGAAAACGAGCAAAAGCTACAGTCCGAACGGAACAAAGAATGTCGATTTTATTTATGGCTCAACATCCGAGTTTCAAATTGCACACCTGATGAGCCGTCACGAACCATACGGCGAAACGTACGTCGTGTGAAACAACTTGTTTTGTAGTTAACTAGTCCATCACAATGTCATGCATGAGGAGTACTGTAGGAGTTTGGCTTTCGGCTTGTACAATTCGTTTTCGCAAAGCTTCCCTTTCTTTACATACATGTATCTTTGATATTTATGACCCACCCAAGTTGGGTGGTGTGCTGCTTTGCTGCTTCGAATTGTAGTTAGACCGCTTTGTCAAATATCGTACTGGTCTCGTCATCGTCCAGTAACAATCGACATTCTTTGTTCCGTTCGGACTGTAGCTTTTGCTCGTTTTCGTTGCGCTTGCCTTCCCCTCTTTGGTCTTTCCATAACCTTGAACCTTCCAAGTTGGAAGGCTGTCGGTTAGCGCTACGGAGATGTGTTAAAGTTAGGTGTCAGGACGTCGAATGTCTCAGTACTCTGTCAGTTTTGTGCCTAGTTATTGCACTTTCTGACTGTATATAGTATCATGTTACAGTGATGGAGAGTTACTCTAAACTCGTATCCATATGTCCTTTTCTCTTTTACATAAAAATAATAATAATAATATTATTATGTATTGCTACATAAAAACGTTATGATTGTAGCGAGGTGGTCAGGTAAATATACAAGCCATTAATTTTGTGAAGCATGCCCAACCGAGGCCGAGGCAGTTCAAGTGACACAAATCCGGAGAAATTATTTACGTGGTTTCTTTTAATTTTAGAATAATGGAGAGCTACGGAGGAGACATACGCGAAGTGAATATCAAACAGATAGAAGAGATTTCTAGTTGTGCCAGAGGCTCTGGCGATAGCATCTCTAGCGATACTGAAGTAGACACTGATGCATTGCTAAATTTGGACGAGAATGAAGGAGCGGCTATAAACAGAAATACATGTAGCTCCTTTCAAAAGAACTGCCTTTGCCGAGTCCAGCTCAGGAGGCTCGAAAAGAACTAGAATTTCTCATGGACTCAGTACCAAGTCGATTGCTCAGCAGCGCCTGTCTTACTTTCCTGATGAAGCACGTACAGTTAGTTGTGGACGGTAGTAATGCCAGGCCTACAGTCAAAATGCTATCAGAAAGGAAGAGTATTGTGGCAAGCCAGACGTCTACACACCATCTCAAGGAGAAGATGAGAGCACAAGCAAAGGATGTAGAGTGGCAAAATAACTTCTGACCACGTGTTTTCAGGATTTCCGCAAATGGGAGGGGTCTCCATCTGAGATCGGATCTCAGAAGCTGGCTTCACGGCTGGTGTTTC